AGTCATTTGAAAGTCAAAAAAAAATACGAGAAAAAGAACAGAGACGGGAAGGGAAAACATTCGGTAGCCATAAAATATTACTACTCAGTATGTAACACTAACAATAATGAATAAAAGAGTGTGGCTGGGCAAGCAGAACCCTCCTGCCGCGGTATTCCGCCGCCCCATCGGTGGCGAGAATGAAGTGGAGGACGAGAGTGGAGTAGGAGGGAATTAAATTACCTTCCTTTCAAACCATGCTGGATGGCATTTGCCGTCACTCCTACGGAGAAGACACACCCTCTAAGACTGCCTACTACGGAGTAGATTCGTTCTCCGAAGAGAAAGTCCTGTCGACCTGCCCAGTCAGGCATTCCCTCCGCCCGATAAGCGCCCGGTCACGTTCCCTCCGGGGCTCACGTCGCTCTTTCCATCCCATCTTCCTTTCCTCATCCCCGAGCACCAGTCACTACTGCAGACCCTCTAATGCACACTATCGTATAGTTTCCTCAGCGTCGCTCTAGTCTCGTCTCAGACAATTGCCAAATGTCAAAGACTTAAAGGCCTCTCTGGTTGCAGCGTGGCGAAACCTACTCCGTATACACCTCGTGGACATGCGAAGCTCTTTTCCGTGACCCCCAGGCTTAAACGGACACTAGTCCTTCACTAACACAAACCACTCCGTCATTTAGCTTGCCAGTCTAGAATCTGGAATGTTGTCTTTCGCTAGGCAGCTTGGGGGACACGTGGAACGATACACCCTTGGTATTAGCGTCCCCTCCGAATAAGACGTGGTGGGCTTCCAACACCCCCAAACACGCCCTTCCCATCGAACTCAACGTCGCGTTCATTGGACGTACGAAATGAGATATAGCGACCGTGAAATTAAACAGGATTCACAAAGGATGGCCTTCCCCGAACTTCGTACACGGCTCACACCATCGGCCATTCTCAGGGCTCGTAGATCCCTGTCCAGACTATATATTTAGGGTTAGACAATGTCCGGTCCCTCGGTACTTTGTTCCGTGTCCGATCCAAGGAATCAATCCCTTCTGGACGGTCGGGGAAGGCACGGAAGAAAGCAGTGCTGACAGTACTTTGTACTAGGAATAAAGAAACATGTTTGGCCGAGGCTAAAGAAGGAAAAACTCCCGGCGAAGCAATCAACCGTTCTGGAACCTCTATGTATCTTCTTTCTGGGATCCGTTCCAGAGGCCGGGTATCGTATCTCCCTTGCGGTCATCAGCCTCTGTTCTACTCGTCCGAGCGTCTTGATTGGATGCCTGCCTAGCTGGTCTCCCTAAATCACTCGGAATTTGTGGTCGGTACCAGGGCGGCGTGAGATGGAATGATCGGATCGGTCATTATTGGATATGTTTGTGATGTGTTGATCAGCGTCATGGAACACAGAAAAGAAAGAACAAATTGAGAAACAAAAAAGGGGGTGCCGACCAACCACCGAAGGGCTGGGCTCGGGGATATCTTTGTCAAGGCTCAATCAAACCTACGAAGTACGACAAATTCAATACCAACAAGGATCTTACCTGCATTGACGGATGATTATCATGCAGCTGCAGCCATAAAAAGGGGGGAACTAGACCTCTTGCAGCCGCCACCCACCAACCTGCATACTACTGTTGTCTTCATCGATCAGCCGCACCTGATGCATCAATTACTTACCCAGCAACCAGGAAGGTCACAAAAAAGAAGCATGTCGTGATCGACGGAAGGGCTTCCGGACGAATCAACAACCCCGATCTCCACCGACAGGAAGGGGAATCGCCATCCGCATCGTTGCATCCACGATCCGTCAATCAATCAAACAATCAACCATCGATCTCCTCGCATCACCAAGGGTGATAGAGCCCAGCTTCTGCAGGCTCGACCCTTCCGACAATTGCTACCGAATGAAGCCGGTGGCGTAGGTCTGTGCATCGCCTCGCCTTTCTGCAGGCCTCCGTGGTGTTCGCACAAAAAGTACGATGCCGACACTACCATGTATGCACTGTACGTGTGCCAGGGATTTTGGTGACTTCTTCGACCGCAAGCACCCCCATGCGTCATGTGATGATCGTGCTGTGCGGCCGAGCGGTTCACAGGAATGGAGCTATTCCTGAATACCCAGTGTGATTTGCCTCCACATTGCAAGCCGACGATCAACTTCACGGGCAGTGGAAGAACCAGTCACCGACCAATCATATGGATGATTGTCCAATGGCAAAGGGTTTCTGTTTTGAGAAGTACCGTACGTGCCCCTTGATTCACTCTCGATGGTGTAATCGCCGTCAATTTGAGCATGTCGTGAAAGCATGAGTGTAATGGCAGCTAGGGATTGGAGTTGACCCGCGTCAGTCGATTGAAGCTGAACGAGGCTGTCATCAATGCTGGTCAGATGCAACAAGTCCTCCTGCGATTTGTGAATGACAGCGACAGCATTGCCAAGCTTCGAGCATGAAAGTGTAAGGCTGGTAACATCGCTCTATATAGACTCCCGCATGTCTAGCATGTCTCTGCAAACTTGTCAATGGCCTCGAAACTTGTTCTTCCAATATATGGAGAATTGGGCCAGCATGGTTCGCTCGCTTTGCTTGAAGACCCAACCAGGACCAGGGGCCGAAATACAGAGAAACCACGAACATAGGGCCGGCTTCTGCGTGCAGCATCACAATTCCTGCTACATGCTCTGTTTCTCTCGAAATCTTCGATGCAATCTGATGTAGACTTGCTGTAAAACTTAAAAAGCAATACTTCTACGCAGGGAGCTAGAGGCAGTATATCATAGGATTGAAATCTTATTAATTGTTCATGATTAGTTAACGGCTCCCCACAACTAACTTTGATGAAGCCAGTTAACTATCGGGACATTTTCAGGAGCTTGAGCTTGAGCTTGTCCCGAAGTCTGCAAAGCAGTTGTACGCCATCTCATACTGCAGCGGATATATCAGCAGGGACTTTGTGAGACGATTCATGTTCAGACACTTACCTGTTCATCAGTCTGGCAAATCAACACCCGCCGTCCATTATCGTTACCCTTGGACGAGATGTCTGTGACGGGTTGACCATCGACCGGACCTTTCTCATTTGCTTCAGGATCAATCTTAAAGCCAATGCATGCGCACTTTTCCACCAGCGTCTTTCTCAAAAGCGCACTTTTCTCGCCAATCCCACCGGCAAAGACGACCGCGTCAACCTGTCCTCCCAATTTCAGGAAGTAATTGCCCAGGTAGCCTAACATGCGATCGGTGACGATGTCGAACGCAAGTTTATGTTCGGGACTAGGAGGGTTTTCGACCGCGATCTGCGAGAAATCAGTTGTCCCTGTAAGAACCTTCCAGCCTGACTTCTTGTTGAGGATTTCCTCGGCCTAATGTATATAGGTCAGTCCAGCACTCTGGTGTTATGCTAGGGACGGGGAACAGAGCGCACCGTGCTAATATGCATCTCCTTGGTACTTGCGGGGCTCAGCTTTCCGGCTTCGCTGGTATAGTGAAAGACGAGCCTAGCATTTGTAAGAAAGGATGCTCACTCTGATCAGGATATACTTCGGTCAAGATCAGGTATGCTCACGATGGATCTATATCACCACTTCTCGTGGCACCAGGCAATCCGGCCAATGGGGTAAGTCCCATGCTAAACCATAGAAAAGGAACAATCAGCATACGCTAGCTTCTTTCCATCGACCGAACATATATAGAGATTTCTCACGTTGTATCAACCGATTTCCCGCCCTTAATCGCACACATCGAAGCCCCGCTTCCAATGTGCATCGCAATGGTATTCGTCTGCTCGATAGGCTTCTTGAGGAATTCGGCCACAGAGCGCAGGATATACGAGTAGCTGATCCCATGGAACCCGTACTTGCGCAGTTTATGCGCCTTCGCCACGTCCTGGTTAATCGGGTACGTCTTGACATGATCAGGAAGCGTCTGGTGGAACGCCGAGTCGAAGAAGGTGATACTCGTAACGGAGGGGAGCTCATCGCGACACGATCGGATAATCTCGAGGGCTGAAAAATTATGCCTAGACTCCATCGTCAGTTATACTCAAATCCATTTTTCTCCCTTCCTTTTCTCCCAAAACCCCCATCCGCAAAGTTTTCACACATACAATGGTGCCAAATCCTCCAACTCCTCCAAATGATGATACGTCTCGTCGTCGATCTTCACGGCCGAATTGAACTCCCCGCCATGCACCACTCGATGACAGATATACGCGAGATCGTCAGTGCCCGCGACCTCGGAGAGCTCGCGATCCGCGAAGCACCGCTGCAGCAGCAACTTGAATGCATCCTGCGGGGTGCTGAGGGATGATTCGTCAAGCTCCTCGGTGTGCTGGTTCGAGCCGCGCGAGTACTTCAGCGTCGGTGGTGGGGCCGTGATCCCCGAGACCTGGGCGTTGGCGATCACTTGTGGGTGTTTCTCGTATGTGTAGAAGGTGAGTTTGACGGAGGACGAGCCGGCGTTTACCGCGAGGATTGATTTGGGTGGCATTTTTGGGGAGAGTGTGTAGGTATGTATATACTGCTATAGGGACAGTACAGCAGATGCAAAGTGCAAAAGGAATTAGAAAACCGAGTGACTGGTCCTTGGTAATTAGATCACGTCGACTAGAGTCAAACAGAACAATTAGAAGAACGACAGGAAGAAAAAAAGTGGACTATTCGGATTGAAAGATTGCAGATTCCCTGTTGTTCGCAATCCGACGTTCCCGGGTCAAGAGAACAAGCAACTTGTGAGTGATGTCACTGCTGTGTGACGTAAAAGGCGACCACTTCTCGACTTATTTCAATCCACCAACGACCATCGCAAACAGGGTTCTGTCTAGCTTTGGTTCTTTAAACAAGCATTTCTTTTTCTTTATTTGGGATCTCGTCGATCGATTAATAGCCCTACAGTCTTACAATTTACAAAGTGACAAGAAAGAGAGAAAGAAGAGAAACGATAAACGCGGTCCACTCCTTATCTTTTTATCTTATCCACTTCTACCTACCTACCTACCTACCTACCTACTAGACAATAGACATGCCCGGAGAAGTGATCGATAGGCCAAACCCCAAGGCCAAGCCGTCGCATATCCCGGATCTCGTGGAACAGTTGCAGGTGCAGCTGCAGCAGACGAGTTTGGATCAGTCGGCGAACGATGGGTTATTGAAGTTTCGTCGGGCTGCTGCTTATATCGCAGCGGGTGAGATTGCCTGTCTTCTTTCTTGGGGGGGTTTGTCGTGTCGGAGTTCACATAACTGACTAACTGTGTCTATTAAACTAGCGATGATTTTTCTGCAGGATAATGTATTCTTGCAGCGGGATTTGAAACATGAGGATATTAAACCGAGGTTACTTGGTAAGTGGAGTGGAATATCTAACTCAACTATATATGATCGGTTGCTCACGCATCTACAGGTCACTGGGGAACATGTCCCGGTCTGGTTCTGGTATATTCCCATCTCAACTATATCATCAAGAAACATGACCTGAACATGTTATTCGTTGTGGGACCGGGACATGGCGCACCGGCGTTGCTGTCTTGTCTGTGGCTGGAAGGCTCGCTGGGGAAGTTTTATCCGCAGTACTCGCGCGATGCTGAGGGGTTGAGGAATCTCATTTCTACATTCAGTACTTCGGCTGGGTTGCCAAGGTTCGTTTCGTCTAGCGCGGTGGGATGTGACGGGTGTAGCTAACGGGGGGATAGCCACATCAATGCGGAGACGCCAGGTGCCATCCACGAAGGAGGCGAATTGGGGTATGCGTTGGCGGTGTCGTTTGGCGCTGTTATGGATAACCCCGACTTGATCGTTCCGTGTGTGGTCGGAGATGGAGAGGCGGAGACAGGACCGACAGCCACGTAGGTTTTTACTCTCACGAGTGCGGTGCGCCGAATGTATACCGGTTTGCTGATCCAGAGAACAGATCGTGGCATGCAATCAAATACCTCGATCCTGCAGAGTCAGGAGCCGTCCTGCCCATCCTGCACGTGAATGGGTTTAAGATCAGTGAGCGTACAATCTTCGGATGCATGGACAACAAGGAACTGGTCACCCTCTTCACCGGTTACGGTTATCAAGTCCGCATTGTTGAGAATCTTGAAGACATTGATGCCGATCTGCACTGCTCAGTCGCGTGGGCCGTCGGTGAAATTCACAAGATCCAGCAGGCTGCGCGCTCTGGTAAGCCGATCATGAAGCCTAGATGGCCGATGATTGTTCTGCGAACGCCAAAGGTATGCCTGCCAATTCCCTCACAGCAACAACCCAGGCTAATCTCCACTCGCAGGGCTGGTCAGGACCCAAGGAATTGCACGGGCAGTTCATAGAGGGCTCGTTCCATTCACATCAGGTGCCTCTTCCCAATGCCAAGAAGGACAAGGAGGAACTTCAAGCTCTTCAAAAGTGGCTGTCCTCGTACGGTCCAAAGGAGCTGTTCACAGAATCTGGAGATATCGTGGAAGATGTTACATCGATCATCCCCTCGGAAGATTCGAAGAAGCTCGGCCAGCGCTACGAAGCCTACAAGGCATACAAACCCCTTGACCTTCCGGACTGGAGGCAGCTCTGTGTCGAGAAGGGGTCCCAGCAAAGTGCAATGAAGGCCATTGGCGCACTCATTGACCAGGTTTTCACAAAGAACCCTCACAACATCCGATTATTCTCCCCTGATGAACTGGAGAGTAACAAGCTGGACGCTGCACTTGAGCACACGGGCAGGAACTTCCAGTGGGATCAGTTTTCCAATGCGAAGGGGGGCCGAGTAATTGAGGTGCTGAGCGAACATCTGTGCCAAGGGTTCCTTCAGGGTTATACCTTGACCGGCCGAGTGGGTATTTTCCCTTCGTACGAAAGCTTCCTCGGAATTGTCCACACGATGATGGTGCAGTATGCCAAGTTCATGAAGATGGTAAGTAACCCCTGCCTAACCGGCCAGTGCATCCCATGGCATCTAACCATCCATCAAACCACCAGGCTCGGGAAACGCAATGGCATGAGGGCGTAGCTAGCATCAATTACATCGAGACTAGCACATGGGCTCGACAGGAGCACAATGGTTTCTCTCACCAGAACCCATCCTTCATCGGCGCGGTGCTCAATTTGAAACCGACGGCAGCCCGGGTATACCTCCCACCCGACGCCAACACCTTCCTGACAACGCTGCACCATTGCTTGAAGTCAAAGAACTACATCAACCTGATGGTGGGTGCGAAGCAGCCGACGCCTGTGTATCTGTCACCCGAAGAAGCAGAGAACCACTGCCGAGCCGGTGCTTCGATCTGGAAGTTCTGCAGTACCGACGACGGTCTTGATCCGGACGTGGTCCTGGTCGGAATCGGCGTCGAGGTGATGTTCGAAGTCATCTACGCAGCTGCCATTCTGCGCCAACGCTGTCCCGCCCTTCGAGTCCGGGTGGTCAACGTGACGGACCTCATGATCCTGGAAACACAGGGCTCCCACCCGCATGCGCTGTCGACGGATTCCTTCGATAATCTGTTCACGCCCGACAGGCCTATCCATTTCAATTACCACGGGTATCCGAATGAACTGCAGGGACTGCTCTTCGGACGGCCACGTCTGGAACGGGTCAGCATCAGGGGGTACATGGAGGAGGGAAGCACGACGACGCCCTTCGACATGATGCTGCAGAACCAGGTGTCCCGGTACCACGTTGCGCAGACGGCCATCAAGGCGGGGGCCAAGCGGAATGAAAAGGTTTCGATCCAGGAGCAGGAACTGACGTCGGAGCTGGCGCAAAACATCGTGAAGACCCGTCAGTACATTTTGGAGAATCTGCAAGGTGAGTAGCAGCGCGCATCTGGCTTCAATCGCTCAATCGCTTTGGATCATTGCTAACGATACATACAGACCCTGAGGGCGTGTATGACATGCCGGAGTTCAAGTAGAGCTGCAGAGGTAATGGTTTCATGATGGTGATGAGTCGTTAATTAATATGAATCACTTGTGTATGTTGAAAGTTTCCATAGCCACAAGCCGTAGCCATAATCGACAGGTCTAACAGGGAGATCCCATGTTTCAGGATTCTCCGACTCAAACTTGGGGCTTGATCGCTGTCTGCCTAAGGCTGAAACGGTGCCCGATCGGGACTAGCCGCAGCTGACGTGATGCGGCCTGAAACGGACAAGGCTGTCTTGGACTCTGGTGTCTGTCAAACTCTCGACTCTCAGACATCGCCCGCGTCAGTCGCGACACGAGAATCTGCATCCTTCCAGCGGTCAGAGGGTCTGCGCGGTGCCTGTTGATGCCTATGGAGGGCCCCCCTGAAACTATAAATCCGATGCACGATGGACTCCCTCGCTTATGACATCATTGCTGTCACCTAATAATATCTCCGACGGGCGGTTGTCGTGCCGGCCGACAAGAATCTAGCCGTTGATATCAACTCTGCCGCCGAACGGGACCACCGTGGCTGTTCTAGCTGACTTGATTACGAAGATAATGGGGCTAAAGATGGGGCCTCCCACTCCACCGAGCTCGCCAGACAACTCGGACATCGGGTATTAGCATTGGCAAAAGCCTCGAAAAAAGGCTGAAGTGAACATGAATTGTGATCCGCCTGCTGTTTCTCGGACTTCGGGACTCGCGGACGATCTAAACCCAAACGGGCGGACCTTGCGAGCAATCAGTGACCGTGGGGAACCCATTTTTGGGGCCCTGGCAAACCCTCCGCCGAATGACCTTGTCTCTGACGACGGCCCGAGAAGAAAACTGATGGTAATTTGTTCGTGGTGATGCAATCAGAATGCGCCGTTTCGCGGGAGTGTCCCCGCCGTACCCGTTGGTATTCGATTGAGGATCCCAAAAAACAAACGCGAGACGAGTCAAAATTTTGTGGTCTATCCGAGCCCCGACAGGGGATTTCTGTTCGGGCAACCGGTGTTCCAAGGCTTGTGGTGCAGCTGGTGCTTGGTTCAGGGTTAGAGCTGATTTTGAAGGATTCGGGTTTTTAGTTTCTTAATGTCTCGTCCAGATCCGCAAGCTTCTCTGCTTTCTTTTTTTGTGCTTCGTATGCTTATGCGCGGTTGATGTCAAAGCTAAACTTATAGCTGAGCGCCGCCACCCCTTGATCTTTGCTGGGTGTTGCCAACTTTCATTAATCTTATACTTTGTTCGCCGCCTTGTGGAGAAGTCACTTTTTGATTTCTACGGGCTATATTACATTAGAGTCTCCCAGTTCCGACTCGCCCCGCGTTCTGATTGTTCGTCGCCTGCTGGACGTCCTGCTCGACTACGCCTATACTATCAAGACTTGGAATCTGGTGGTCATTGACCGCAGACTCGCACCATGTCGAACGGATTGACTGAGGAGCAGCGAATGGAGCTGAGGACTGGCTGCCATGCCACCATTGAGGGACTGGGTACAGCTTACGGCTATGTACCGTCGCTGCCAGCAGGCATTGTCTTTTTGGTACTGTTCGGTATCTCGATGCTCGCCCACACGGTTCAATTTATTTGGAAGAGGAACTGGTGGTGCGTTGTGTTCACTATTGGGTGTTTGAGTATGTATTTCTTTGCGGTCATCAACTAAGACAGCGGATATTGACCTACTTGTGCAGCGGAGATTATTGGCTGGGCCGGACGTACATGGTCTGCAGAATGTCCCTATAACTCGAATGCTTTCCTGATGCAGATCTCAACATTGATCATCGGTAAGATAAAAGCGACCCCATATTACCATCCCACTGATCAACATGCTAACAAGATCCTCCCTCAACAGCCCCGACTTTCTTTACCGCCGGTATCTACGTCCTTCTTGGCCGCTTCATCCAAATATTAGGTCGCGAATCCTCCATCCTCAGCCCTAACCTCTACCTCTGGATCTTCTGCACCTGCGATGTTGTCTCCCTCGTCATCCAAGCCATCGGCGGTGGTATCGCCTCCTCCGAGTCCGACAAAATCGACGGCGACACCGCACCCGGCACGCACATCATGGTTGCCGGCATCGTCTTCCAAATGTTCTCCATCACCATCTTCGTCGTCTGCGCCGCCGACTTCGTCCGCCGCTGTATCAAGCATCGATTGCTCCGCCATACCACCGGTGCCATCTACCCCCTGTTCGGAGCCATGGTGTTCTCCGTCATCTGCATCTACATTCGGAGTATCTACCGAACCATCGAGCTATCCGAGGGCTGGGACGGATACCTGATCACGACGGAACGGTACTTCATTGCGCTCGACGGCGCCATGATGGTTCTTGCCGTGGCTGTCTTCAACATCTTCCATCCCGGCTGGTTGATGCCGCGCAACAAGTCGATGGAGTTCCAGAGCGAGTTGACATCCCACGATGGATATGATGTGGAACTTCGCTAATTAATTCTTCCAAACTTTTTCTTTGAATATTCATTTTGATTCTTTTACATATTCCATGTCCATAGATACCGATTTTGTTTCTTTATACTTTCCTTGCTCTCCTTTTTTGTCCCCCATTGTTTCCAGTCCAGAACAAGCCTAGACCATGGTTGGATCTTTCGGTTTCTTAAATTCGCAGGTAGACTAGACGGATGTATAGCAAGCGTGTTACAGGGCTTTACTATGATTAGATGACAACTATCATGTTCATGTTGGTTTCAAAATAGAATCGAATTCAAATAACCTTCCCTTTTTTTCCCTCCTGCAAAGTAACATTTTGCGCAGATAAAACACATTCGGAACATACTCCATAAGACGTAACTCGTGACGCTACATAATTGGGAAGAAGAAGAGAACACCCGGAAATCGAGAAGAGAAAGGAAAAGAGAGAAAACACGAAAGCAAAGTAACTAAATGAATCGGCCATGATCGTTTTTATCCGTGTTTTTCCATATTTTGTGGCTCGTTTAACAGGACAGTTGAATACCATTTTTGTTTTTGATTTTGTTTCCTTGTACGCACGCCTTGCTGAATTAACACAAGCAGATGGGCAAGTCAAGTAAGTAGGTGAGTAAGTGAGTGTTTCGTGAATCATAAGACATGACGGTGTTGACGGGGTGGTAGTGGTTATACGCCATCGATGGCCTCGATCCACGCAAAGAGCCCTGCCACGATGAAAGTCGCAACAGCCCAGACGGATCCCCACGCGGACGCGCCTTCGATGTCAACTCCGTCGACGGTGCCCGCTACCTGGACAACGGTGTTGATCACCAACATACTGGCGAGGACGAAGGTGCGCGAAACCAGAACTCGCGTTTTGGCGGACAAGGAAGCCCATGTCTTGCGATAGATCGTGGAAATGAGATACTCGCCCTGGCGGTCGGTGGTGGAGGAGGAAGAGGAAGCAGGGGGAGACTTCTTGGTAGAGTCCGACTTCGAGGCCAATGCGCCGGCGGAGCTCGCGAATAGAAAGTCTCGTGCGGCCCAGCCGGCGGGGAGAAGGGCGACGAAGAGAACGGGAAGACCTGCGGGGCCAGCGTGCACGGTGCTAATATCAGGAATGTTGATGAAGTGGAGGACAAGCTGGGCTGGGAGCCAGGTGGCGTAGCTGATGTACAGGAGGACGGTGAATATGGCCGTCGCCGCGAGAGTAGTGTAGATGGTGATCGCGCGGTCTTGGAGGATCGACCGGTTGGAGACAGCATCCCACGGAGCGCCGGACAGGTTATGCACGGATGAGGGTTTGCGAAGGATCATGAATGGAATTGAGGTCGAGAGGAGGATAATCGCGTACGAGGCGAGGACGGTAGTGGGTCGGATGTTGTAGAAAGAGACAAGTAGAGCGTAGGTGGGCAGGTGGGTGAGGAAGATGAACGAGGACACGTCTCGGCCTGTTTATGCCATGATCAGCAATTGCAAAACATCAAGGCATTGAAGGGTATTAGATATAGCTCACCATCAAATCCTAGAGCCCAGGCCAGTCCGACCTCGACGGCCTTCCACACAATCAATCCCCCCACTTCCCACCATTCGTCCAGGTGTTTGCTCACATTTCCGAGTTCGCCTAAGGTGATGCCCGAGGAGAGACTAAATAAGGTAGAGCTGAGGATCAAGCTACTGCCCACAACGAGAATGAATCGGGCTGGAGATGGGATGTTCTCCAAACGAGTCTTCTGGCGCAGGTGGCTGGCGGATCGGTCCACCGCGTCGGAGGCAGACTCGAGTTTGTCAGTGACGGTCGATAGGACGTCTTTCTTACGCGGAGCCATCATCAGGAAAGATTCCTCGCAAAATTCAAGATGTAGCGATCAGTACAATTGAAAGATTTTGCAGGTGGGGAGAAGAGAAAATCAAGAGCGAAGCCAACGCGATCATAAAAAAGAAGGCGGGAAACCGACTGCAGGCGGTGAGCGCGCGATGATGTCATGGCGATTTAATGCCGGAAGAAGCTGGACACGAGACCAGCTGACCGACGATGACCTCATGTGTTTATAGAAGCTGAAATGTACCGTACATTTCTATCAACACAATATACCAATACCAAATATATGTACCACATTAATATACACAAGGCCAGCAATCCGTACACATTACCATCTAGAAGTCTTTCAATCATCCTCATTGTCTTCCGGGCGCTCCACAACTGAAAACTCGGCCGAGCCGTTGTCGCGTCCCTTGTAATCCCGCAGGCGGAGCTGATATTTGCCGTTATCCCAAAGATCTTTAATGGTCAGCTCTCGCGTACGGCCGAGACTCTCGATATCTCCGATGCGCTCCAAAGTGCCCTCGAGGTGCTTCTCAAAGCCAGGTTTGCCGCAGATCTCGCGGAATGCCCTCTGCATAGGGACCGAATCGGCTCGGACCATGGCCCGTGAGTCAATGGTAAAGATGTTCTCATGATCATAGCTTTGGATGAAGTCGGCTCTGGTCATGATCTGCCGCGCTTCGTGGAGCGGAATCTCGGGCAGAATATGACCGATGTGAGGGTCGTAGTTCTTCTCCATCTCTCCCTCCTTGTCAACAAGTGCCTTGGCAAGAACCATAGCGGCAGACTATCGCGACGTTAGTGTCCTTCAACTCATTCATATAATGCATCGCAGTCGATGTACGTACCGAGAACTTCTGCTCGTCCATAACGTCGTCGTCCATTTCAGGTCCAAGGATCCAGCATTTGTTGAGGAACCAGCTCTTCTCGGCCTCGCAGATAGAGTTGCAAAGCTTCATAAGATCCTTGGCTTTTGCAACGCGATTGAGGTATGACAGTCGCCCGCCAACTTTGTCGTACACCTCCTCGAGAACCTCGTCAGACAGTTCTTCACCGAAGTAACGCTTCCGGTAACCCTTCAGGGCGCTCATTGCCCGTTGTTTGGGCAAGTCGGAAACCGGAATAACCTCCATTCTCGCTGCATATCGTTTCAATCGCTCATAGACCCAGTAGTCATCGCTGTTTAGCACTTTCATGGTTGAAAAGAACGCGTTAGTTGCAAGATATCACCGAGTGGCGGCCTCTTTGAACTCACCCATGGTCACCAAGTTACTGGCCGCCCATTGTTCGGCTCGTTGCTGGATCATTTCGAGAAGATCCTGGCCGTCATGGTCATCCTTTACCAAGTGCGTACTGTTGATAATCATAACCAATGGCGGTAAGCCTTGGCTCCTTCTCTTCAGGGCGACTTTCTCCAGTTTGTTGAAGGCACGCTCGATATCCAGTAGAGCGGTGGTATCTCGAGGGCCCTTGATACTGAAGAGACTTCCGATGTAGCTAGAAAGAAGGTCAATACCAGAGCGAGATATAAACCAAAATTCAAGAGGGACAAAGAAAGGGGAAGAAAAAGAGGGGCCTACTCTTCATGAAACTCAAAGTCCAACGCTTTTCCCAATCTAATGCGGAAGATTTCCAAATCGCCATGGGCCTCAAACACGGAACAGCCGTCGCCATTGATTTTGCGCATGGCTTCGAGGAGCATGGAAGCTTTCCCGGTTCCTTTCTCTCCGATTATGAGGAAATAGCGACCGCCGGCCTTGCCCTTGATGATGGCGTCAATCCTGGGCTGCTCGTCGCGGACTACCCAGTGATCTTCCGAGTCGGCTTCCACACCTGCGACCTCGAGGGCCGGGTCGCCCGGCTGGAAGGCATTTTCCATCTTCTGCAAAATCACATACTTGTAGTACTGATGATAGGAGTACCCAGCCAAGCTAGACGGCGGCTCGTTAGCAAGCGTGAGGGGCGTACGCTCTTTTCAGCTCGGGACGACATACCCCAGAACCGCGATGGAGGCGAATGTTGTCGCCGCAGTCTCCAACATTCTCAGGATGGTGGATTTAAAGGTAGGATCCGAGTCATTGGTTCGGCCCCGATCGTCGTCCCTCGCGTTCGCATCTTGATCGAGAGGATCGGGAGTGGGATTATACAGGATGGGTCCCTGAGAGAATTGCCGATCCGAGTGGTAGGGAACTACTGGATGGAGCGGTTTCCGTGGCCTCGACAGGCGAATGTGAGGCCGCGAGATCAATGGAAGAGCTCGCTGGACATTTCGATGCAATAGCATCTTCTAAGCACAGACTGCACACAAGGTGGAGATGGAATGAACTCAATGCTAGGCCTGGTGCAGGAAGAAGAAAGAAAGGAGAAAGAAAAAAAAAAAAAAAAAGCAAAAAGAACAAGAGAGCCAAGCTTTTACAGTTCGAACGAATGCGCTGGACTGGCAGTAGTCGGATATTTGGGTAGGAAGTGTGGCGCAGTCATAGATCAGGGGAAATCAAGGCACAGATTATGAACCACAAAAACACACATGGGTCATTGGGGGGTTGAAAAGAGTGTCGGGGGGAGAACGATTGACAGCGAACCCAAAGCAAGGAGACAAAGGGAGCCGAGAAAAAAGAAAAAGAAGGTGAGATGAAGTTGAGTTTTGGACCCGATCTGGCGCTTTGGAAATCTCCGCTGCTGCGCCTCACCGGCAGATCGATGAGGCTTGGCGCTTTACTCACTCTGTGAGTGAGTAGTTAGTTAGTAGTGTCGGTATATGATAGAATTGATGCAGTGATAATTGATTTGCTTTTCTACACTTAGAGAGTGGACAGACAGAGTTCCATGTATGGGTCTGTTATATATATGTTATTCCTTCTTGACTAGTTACCTCATGAACTCGAGAGATACAATGACATATATTTTGTGGGCCATAGGTATGTAACTATCGCAACACTCTACCTTGAATCCTCGAGTAAACACCTGATAAAGGTGGCCAACGCCGAGAACGGCTCTGGAAGTGTTCACCGATGTACAGGTACCTCTCAAGTGCAACGGAAGTGGTGTTGAGTCAGGTACCAGTGACCCGTCACATCCTCACCGCATCCGTAGCTTCCCGCCCAAACCCTAAGATTCCCACGGTAGAGAAAGCTCAAGATGATCAAAAAGTCTGTGAAAAAGGTCCGAAAAACGAGTGTGATCCGGATCTGATATAGTAAACTTCAATTCGAGTAAATCCCTCCTCCTCCTAGGCCGGACCCCCATGTTTTCCCGCCGAGCCAATTCCCGGGGAGAATTCCTCGTAGTCATAGAAATGCCGGTGGGTTGTGGATTTCCCACCGCCCGAGCGATTCCGAGGGTATTCCGCAACCCGCGAAATTTTCTCTGCCCGGCTTCCCCGTGTGCTTTCTCCAGCTTCAACTACCCTTGATCTCTTCTCCCTTGTTTTCCATTTGTCTGCTTTGGCCTGGGTACGGGGTTGTTTTTTATATATTCAATTGCCCTCGTCCCTGTATCATATCCCGGATTTATCTTTTGTCGATTCTCCCATCTGTTGTCATTTCCTGTCTTTTTTGATTTCCACTTTTTCTTCTTTACTTTCCGCGGCATTCGAGATTTTAGACGAATTGTCAATTGGGACGGTTCCATCACTCCATTTTACTTCTCTCTAAAATTATCCTCCCCCTTTCAATTACACATTATGGCTCAGACCAATGGTGATGTCGAGCACTCGAAAGGTTGGATTGCTCTCCCCCGGTCATCTTGCGGAGGACTCGTTCGGTTAACCGTCATAGCAGAGTCGCCCGAACAACTCACCAACGGAAACCACCCCGAGAGTCAGGAAGAGGAGAACAATGGCGGTATGTATTCGTGATTATCATAGTTGAGTCGTCGGATTGACAACTAACGATGTCATTCATTGATCAGGTCTCTTCCAGATCTCCGTCAAGCTTCCTCATGAACCCTACAAGATCCAGGTGATGGTGGGTATTCAGGTCTACAAAACCCTCAATCAGCAATGGTTGGCCTAATGATTCCATTCAATACTTTAGGTGTCGAGTCAAGAGCAAGTCCAGGACGTCCGCCAGTCGATCGTCGAGTTGCCCAGCACTTTCCAATACACCTGCTTCCATCTCGAGTTCAATGGCAGCCGCATCAACGACTTTGTCGAGCTGTCTGAGGTGCCCGACCTCAAGGCCGACTCGGAGATCGTTCTCGTGGAGGACCCGTACACCGAGAAGGAGGCCCGCATGCACGTCGTGCGTATGAGGGAGTTGGTCGGCGCCGCCGGTGACCGAGTCGACAACCTCCACGGTATCGACGCCGGCTTGTCGCTACACGATGCGATCGCCGAGGAGGCTCTTACGAAGGAGAGCTCGGATAAGGACCACTCGCTGTCGAACTATGACATTGCCGGTTCCTCGTCCCTGAAGACCATCCTTCCCAAGGCCGAAGCTCCCCTCCCGAAGACCGTCAAGTCCATCTCGCTATCGCCGTGGAACCCTGCTCCTTACCACCTTCGCCAGAAGGGTCACCTGTTGTACCTCCAGGTCACCACCAACGAAGGCGAGCAGTTCCAGATCACCTCTCACGTGTCTGGGTTCTACGTGAACAAGTGCTCGAATGTCAAGTTCGATCCCTTCCCCAAGACCGTCGCCAAGAAGGGTAGCGCCCATTCTCTCCTGACCCTGATCTCTCACCTCTCGCCCTCCTTCAACTCCGCTTTCGAAGCCCTGCAGGAGTCGAACAACAAGAAGGACCTCCTGACCACCTTCCCCTTCCAGAACGCCATCCCCAACAGTCCGTGGTTGGTCCCCCCTCCCTCCTCTAATGTCAACGCCCACCAGCCCGACATCACGCGATCCCAGGAGAGCTACCTGATCTCCGGCGTGGACAACGCGGAGACTCTGAGGGACTGGAACGAAGAGTTCCAGACCACCCGTGAGCTTCCTCGTGAGACCGTTCAAGACCGCGTTTTCCGCGAGCGCTTGACGTCCAAGTTGTTTGCCGACTACAACGAGGCTGCCGCCCGTGGTGCCGTCCTGGTTGCCAAGGGCGAGGTGGCCCCGTTGAACCCCACCGAGGATCGGGACGCTCAGATTTTCGTGTACAACAACATCTTCTACTCTTTCGGTGCCGACGGTGTTGGCACTTTCGCCTCCGAGGGCGGTGACGAAGCCGCCCGCGTGGCTGTTGGCAAAGATGTCCTGGGTATCAAGGCTGTCAACCAGCTCGACATCAACGGCTTGTTCACCCCCGGAACCGTCGTGGTCGACTACCTTGGCAAGCGTATCGTCGGTCAGAGTATCGTGCCCGGTATCTTCAAGCAGCGTGAGCCCGGCGAGCACCAGATCGACTACGGCGGTGTTGAGGGCAAGGACGTCGTTGCGACCCACCCCGACTTCGTTTCGGTCTTCGAGAAGCTGTCGAAGGCCCTGCGCATCAAGAAGCATGCTGTCTGGGATAAGGACTCGAAGCGTCATGATCTCGAGGGCAGTGTCGAAACCAAGGGTCTGTTGGGCACCGACGGCCGGAAGTACGTGCTTGACCTCTACCGGGTCACACCCCTGGATGTGACGTGGCAGGAAGAGGAGGGTAGCGACGCTTACCCTCACCGCATGTCCGTCTTGCGACTGGAGCTGGTCGAAGCCTACTGGAGACAGAAGATGAGCCAGTATGTGAAGGCTGAAGTCGAGCGCCGTCGCAGCGCCAAGGCCGAGGAGACTGCGGCCAAGGAGAAGTCTGAAACTGCCGACTCCAAGGAAGAGGGCGCCGAAGAGAAGAACGAGGAGGCTTTGGATCAGGAGCGGGTTGATATCTCTGGATTCTCGCTGGCCCTGAACCCCGACGTCTGCAGCGGCCAGGTTCCCCAGACCGACGAAGAGAAGGAGCAGTGGGCCCAGGACGAGAAGGAAGTCCGGGACGCTTGCGATTTCCTGCGTTCCAAGGTCATGCCCGAGCTGATCCAGGATCTGCACGACGGAGATGTTGGCTTCCCCATGGACGGACAGTCGCTCAGCCAGCTCCTGCACAAGCGTGGTATCAACATCCGCTACCTCGGCAAGTTGGCCCAGCTGTCCTTGGAGAAGGGCTCCCGCCTGGAAGCCCTGTCGACTCTCCTTGTCCAGGAGATGATCGCTCGTGGCTTCAAGCACATTGCTAACGAGTACCTGCGCAACGTGCCGGCTCCGTTCGTCGCCTCCTGCGTGGCTCATCTGCTGAACTGTCTTATCGGCACCGACGTCAACGCCAACCCTCGCGCCGAGATCGACGCTGCGATGCGCGAGATCTACCCCGAGGCTGATTTCTCCTTCGAGAAGGTCACTCCTGCCTCTCTGCGGGCCGACATTGAGAAGCAGGTTACTCTTCGCTACCGCTTTACCTTGGCACCCGAATGGTTCAGCTCCCTGCGACACTTGCAGCTTCTCCGTGACATCTCCATCAAGCTGGGTCTCCAGCTTGGCGCGCGTGAGTTTGCATTCGAGAAGTCGCAGCTGCCCAAGGTTCCCGCCACCAACGGTGTGAACGGTGCTGGCAACGATGATGGCAAGAAGAACAAGAAGAAGAAGGGCGGCGACTCCAACTCGCCCGCTCGTGCTGCTTCCCCCGAGAAGCCTGCGCTTTCTATCGTTCCGGACGATATTCTTAACATCGTGCCTCTCGTTAAGGACGCGTCGCCCCGTAGCTCCCTTGCCGAGGAGGCTCTGGAGGCTGGTCGTATCTCCCTCATGCAGAACCAGAAGCAGCTGGGCCAGGAGCTCATCTTGGAATCTCTTTCTCTGCATGAACAGATCTACGGCATTCTCCACCCCGAGGTTGCCAAGCTTTACCATCAGCTTTCCATGCTCTACTACCAGACCGACGAGAAGGAGGCTGCCGTTGAGCTGGCGCGCAAGGCTGTCATCGTGACCGAGCGTACCTTGGGTGTTGACTCTGCCGACACCATCCTCAGCTACCTCAACCTCAGTCTGTTTGAGCACGCCTCTGGAAACACCAAGACCGCTCTGGCCTACATCAAACATGCCATGGACCTGTGGAAGATCATCTACGGATCTAACCACCCCGACTCTATCACCACCATGAACAACGCCGCCGTGATGCTGCAACACCTCAAGCAGTACACTGATTCTCGGAAGTGGTTCGAGGCTTCGCTTGTGGTTTGTGAGTCGCTCTTCGGCAAGCAGTCCATCAACACCGCCACGATCTTGTTCCAGCTGGCGCAAGCCCTGGCTCTTGACCAGGACTCCAAGGCCGCCGTTGGTAAGATGCGCGATGCCTACAACATCTTCCTCAGCCAGCTCGGACCCGACGACCGGAACACCAAGGAGGCCGAGACTTGGCTGGAACAGCTCACCCAGAACGCTGTTTCCATCGCTAAGCACGCCAAGGACATCCAGGCTCGTCGTCTGCGCCGCATCAACATGAACACCCGGTCCCTGGGCACCAAGGTCCAGCCCGGTGTCGGCCAGTCGGCTCCCGAGGCATCTGGCGCCGGAGGCTCCTCGTTGGATTCCCGTAGCGTTGATGAATTGCTGAAGTTCATCGAGGGTGGTGACGCCAGCGCGTCGCGCTCCAAGCAGAAGAAGCGTGCCGCTGCCAGCAACCCTAAGCTCCGGGGATCGAAGAAGTCATCGGCTTAAAACCATACCTCCATTTCTTTTCTTTCTTGGGTAATATAAAAACAAAAATTCACGCTCGTGTCTTATATGTGTGACGGCTAGATGCTATACTGAAAACCAGGGGTTTCCATGTCGGATGAGCGGGGTGTTTATCATTTTTTTTCTCTTATTTCTTTTATTATCTCTTTTTTTTTTTCTTTCCCCCTTCTTCTTTCTTCTTTTTCATGTGCTGTAAAAATCTCTCTACTCTTATTTTCTTATGGGTTTTTGGCCTTTCTTTCCAACAGGAAATGTTTATCGCGGGAAGTGCATAGCAAGGTCGGGTGATTTGCATGCTATAGTGCTTTGGAATAAGCTATGTATTATATATATGACCTTCATCTAATTGAAGCATGCATCAATGACGAACACATGAATGAATCTTCATTGGAATCAACTGCAACACAAGTAATTCTGGTTGCCTGAAGTGCAAGGCGCAAAGAGTTGGAGATACCTCGGAGGAATGCTGTTCCGTCTGTGTCGGCAGCTTGACCGCTTCCGGCAGTATTCAATGTTTATTGTCTTTCACGGAGGGCCCGTCGCAACCTCATCCATCTTGTCGTCTTACAACCCAGCAGTATCTTATGGCCTATTGTTGCCACTTTCTTCACATTTTATTCTACTGAATATAGCATAATTGTGCGCATATCTTCTGTTTCTCTTTCAACCTCCGTGTTGCCTATGAGCGGCCGCTTCGCAAACCGACGGTAACATGGGACTACTTTGACCGATCATAAACACGCGATTCCAGTGCTTCAGCCGCCCTCCTGAAGACGAACATCCTTTCGAATGACATGATCAATTGAATATAATCTTTTTTGGCAGATTGGAACCCTTCCCGCGATATGGAAGACATTCAACCGACCGCAAAATGGGCTAATCGCATGCTGCGCCCCTTGACCTCCATCTATCATCGCTTAGAGAAACACCACGAAATCCAGACCAGCGTCAAGGAAAGATCTGAATCCCGCGAAGCCACTGCCACACAGCCACCGTCAAAGCCCTCCGGAGTCGAACAAGGCTGCTCTTTTTCGGACGAAGAACCGGGCGACCCGGCCTGGATTCCCGGGAAGCCAGAAAAACGACGGCTACGACATAATTATTCAACTCGGGGACAACGAGGAAATGCGGCCCGACGGCGCAGTCGATTATCAATTGCCAGCCCCGAATTACCAAAAACTCTCCCTGGCGCGATCGAGATTGCGACACCCTTGATCACTGGTAGAGCACGGGGGCCGTCGGAACCATCATCGTTCAGAAAACAGTTATTCCGAAATGTCGTACCCCCTACAGGCCTGGCCGTGTCGACCGAAAACCGAAAACCGACACGAACAAACCACTCCAATTTCCCCGCTTACCAAGGCTCGTGGAAGCAGGTTCTCGATTTATCCGGAGACGCGGGATTCGTCGATATAGCGCATTTCCTAGACCGTGCATTTATTAAACTGTTGAATAGAACTCAAGTGAAGGAGCAAGCTCGGGGGACTCGGTCATTGTTGTCAATGGCCGTGCGACGTCTCCCGGTTTTTATTGCAGAGGAACAGAGATTACAGGACGAGTTGGACGAAGATGGTGACGTGGATATGTGCGATGCCTACTTCACAGAATTAGAGGCACATTATGCTCCGATGGGATCAGGATGGCAGCCACTCCGTGAAGCTGTGCGCGCTCGGGGTATTCACCTTGTCTCCGAGATGATACAGAAAGGATGGATTACCAGGTTGGCTGCTTGTCGACTAATGAAGGAGTGTATGGCGCAGGGTGAATTTGATGCTTTTGAATCACTCATGTCCAAAATTCTGGTAACCCTTGGAAAATATGAATACCCAGTCGTTTTTGATTTACCCAAGCCTTCGGGTCATTGTGACGACCCAGTCTATACCCTATGCACTTACTACAGACGGTCGACAGAGAGGCGATCATTTGTTTTTGATGAGTTGTCTAAACTTCTTCTCCGTCGGGTGCTGCCTCCCGAGTGGATGGTCACCACCACCTGGAAAAAATGTATAGACGGGGCAATCCAATCGCTATCCACCGAGGATGGAGACTCTGCGGCTGCCACGCGGCTACTACAAGCCGTCGTCCTTACGGCTGGTGCAATCTACCCGGCGACCGATGCGCTGTTTTCTACAATGGATTGTGAAACTACTCCGCGTCGGGAGCGCTTCAGAGACACACGGGCTTCGACGACAAACGTGGCAACGACACCCACGGACCAGACACCGTGTCCCATTCCGATCCAAGATGCGTTGAGCAATCTTGTCTCAAGCCTCGTGACTGCGCTCTGTGGGATGTGCATCGCGCGATTGCAAACATCCAACGCCAGTGAGAACGCCATCGGCGCGAAAGTTCGTGACATAGTCGGATCATTGGCTTTCGCCATTCAACGAGACATTGAGACGAAACCACTGCCGCAAGGAGCTCACGGACCGACGTATCGATCCCTCCGTCGCGCATATGTTCTGCTCGGCGACTACGTGCTGCGCTGCGGCGAAGAGTCCTCGGAGGTCATCAGTGACCGTGCCTCGATCTCAAGACGAAGTTTCGAAACATTCTTTCAGTCATTGGCTGCTCAACATGACACTGTCAAAGAGTTGGCGGAGCTTGTGCGACAGGTGTTTCACTGCTGCGGGCAAGTGCGCAAGGGCGACAAGTCCCGGACACCAATCGAGGTTCATTCCAGAGTTTCTCAGCTGGCTCAGTTGACGAATGGAAACGGCGTGTCTTTACTGTTGGGCAAGGTAGCGGCAGAGACAGCGATGGGGTTAGCGGAAACGACCCTGGATCCGGATGACCACGTCTGGGCCATGGAGGTTCAAGAGCAGGTTCTTACAACAGAGCGCAGCCTCAAGACAGTCCAGCATGAAACGTCCAGACGGGCAGGTAGCACTGGATTATTTCGATGGGAGGATAGCATTGGCGAATGGGTGGCGAGCACTCCGGCGCCCAAACCCAAGACACATGTGGACTTGAGGTCCAAACGTGTCGAGACACGGTCGCAGCAGCCGCCGACTATACCATGTTCCACCAGTAGTACCTCCCCCAGCTCTACCAACTCCCGACACGCTGCTTCAAGCATAACGTCATCGGCGCCATCTATCACCACCAAGCGGGCGTGCGCCCCAGCAGGCCGCAGCAATCCAAGATCACCGAAAAGGCTTCGATCGACCCCTCGGGAAGAATATGCAAAGGAGGCACAGGAATCGCCCCTTCTTCACTCGGGCCTCTTGTCTACGTCGTTATCTGAGTCAGATCGCACCCCGATAGCCGCCCGCACCAGAACTGCCCGTGCCTTGAAGGAATTGGTACATGCAAAGAATCGGCCGGTGCGGGGGATGCGTCCAGAGGGAAGTCCAACTCAGATCGAGGTGGTCATCATCAACAAGAAAAGTGGTCTTCTGTCGAGCGGACCGACCGTTCAATACTCCGAGCCCCTTAGTCTGCGTACCCGTTCGGCTCGTGCGAGGATGTCTCTTCCCGGCACCAAATCAGAGGTTGAGGAGTCCTTCAAGGCGGCTACGGTACCACGTAGCCTACCTCTTCGACGGACGCGTAGGGTGGTATCTCGTACTACTCAGGACGATAGCGAGGATGAGTTGAGTTTCCTATAACTGCCTTACTCCGTAGTTATGGGGCGGCTCTCTCCGGTGGATGGGAATCCCTGCCACATCCCGTGGCTTATTTTGGTCCTTTTAATCTCCGTGGGGCAGGGAACCAAATATCTTTCTTTCTTTCTTTTTTTTTTTTTGTCGGTACTCGTTAAGTTTCTTTTGTTTTTCTGGATTTTCTTGGGTCGCAGGGGGAATTGCCGGAGTTCTGAATTAGGGATTTCTTGGACTATCTTTGTTTTGGCGACGATTGATACCCAAGGGCATTTGGTGCGATGGGGTCTGTTTTGGACTGTTGGTTTTTTCTTCTTTCTCCTGTCCATTTGCATTTTGCATTCTCTTTTCATATATTTAGTTTACTTGGTTTTTTAAAATAGCTTTTTTGTGGGGAGCGGTTTGTCATGGATATCCAAGAACCATTGAGAAGGCAGAGGAGGATCCATTCTCCTGGCCTGAGTGTTTTGAGCACATTTTCTTTTGCAAATCAGATGATTCTGGGGCGGGGCGATGTGACAGGTTCCAGCGACTATGTGCTACAGCCTACCAGTCGACTAAAGAAAGGGTCGCAGGCTGTACTCCCGGAGATCCAGGGGCGATGTTTCTGATTGGGACTGTTGGATTCCTTGGTGCTACTCACGGACGGATGAGATGGATAAGTGCAACCTAGACGACCAGTCAACGACGAAAACAGGCGGAGATTAGTGGCCCGGAGAGAATGGCATTGATGTAGACATTTTTTAATTACTACTCCGGAGTAAACAAGAATAGTAGTTCCAGAGTGGTTATTGCTCCGTGCTCCTTGGACGCTAGAGCGACTGACTGGCTGTCAGGCAAACGCCGGGGACTCGGGGGAGGGGGAGGATATTAAATGTTTCAATCTGGATCAAGAGGGCAACTTATATCGACAAGTTGTTAAGACTATTTAGTCGTTAGTTAAAAAATTTAAGAATATCATCCGAGTCGCCAAGGGAGGCCAGCATAACGCCATGTGGATGTATGTAGATTCAATTGAAATTAATCCGGTGCGCCAAGCCCGATTATGCATCGCTCAGTCATCCGGGTCGTCCTTTCTTTTCTGGTTCCCATTTTTGCATCTTCCTTCATTCTTTCTTCCTCCCATCCTGGCTGACCGACGACGGCAAATCAGACCTGCATCTGTACCTGCATCGCGACGATCCGTTGCAATGATGATGATAATGATGATGTTGCTGATACTGATGACGATGATTCCAACGCAAGGATAGACTCTTGCACCGCCAACCAACCAACCTCGCCCGTCTTCTCAAACAGCGATCTCTAGCTCCACCCGTCGTCGGTCCCGTTGATTCGCCCATGCAAGGGCTTCAATCCAGATCAGATCGTCCCCTCCTCTTGACTTGTTTCATCTTCGGGCCATTCAGCGTCCATTACTCTCCTTTTTGGTCTCGCCGCCACCGCAAGTGAATTAGGCAATTGAGCAATTGCTTCCTGATTTCGCCTGAACTGTGGAACGCCGATGATGGATCCATTTTGCAGGAGCCACACTAGGGGTCCGGTCTGATGAGTCGATGACAGGAGAATGTTGTGCCTGGCGGGTTCCTTTCCCCGTCCTGTCGACTCGAGTCAACTTCCCCCTGTAGTTACTGCTAGCTTGTTTGCTGGATGCTGCTGTTAGCTTACGGAGTAGGAGGAGTCTAGGAGACCGTCCAGACTCCAGAGTTGTCCGTTGTTCTTGGTGGGCCTGTATATTTTCCCTCTTTACCAAGCGCCGCCCCCCGCCTCTGGGCGCGAAAAAAAGAGGAGACGAGAGAAAGACCTGTGCTGAATCTTTCTCTTCTTCCCTTTCCCTTCTTTCTCTTTCTTTTCTTGTCCGATCTTCTTTCCCTGTCTTAACTCCCCCCCCCCTCCCGTACGACCGTTGCGGGTTTTTTTTTGCGATTTTATTTATCTGTTCTCCCTTTGCTTCTTGGCAGATCTCCGGTGGGATTTCTCCCTGTTTGCCTTCGTTCCTTGATAGCCGCCGACCCAAGAAGTGACTGGATCACCAACTCACATTCCTTTTCGTTGCCCGTCAACCTCTGCAATTTCGGTCCGAGGATTCGCTTTGGTCGGGTTCCTCTTGCATCGTTTCCCCTTCGTTTGACAACCAAGTGAATCGACTGGGTCGTTTTCTTGGTTCCCATTGTAGATTGTTTGGGGTTCTTGTACGACAATTCTACCAGAAAACAAAGCGGCAATCATCGAAACAAAGACTCAAGACAAAGCCTTGGTTTGCGCAAGCATACCTGCACTTTCGAATATCGCCTATTTAAATTTCAGTCGCCAATTCGCAGTCTTGTGCGCCGGTGATTGTATTGGTGACCTCGTACAACTGAATCACCAGGTCGTTCCGTGATTTCTTTCTCTATCGGATTTAAGTTGGCAGAGCTGGTCTCGCACGCAATATCTCCGGTCTTGCCCACTGCTTCTAGATTGCAGGGGCATCGCAATCGTCAATCTTTATTCTATCTTTCACTTGCTTTTGTTTAGCTTTTTCTCGCAGGACTCTGATCATCATGAGTTCTCTTCTTTTCGGCTTGTCCCTGGTTGGACTCGCTTCCGCAACGGCTCAAATTGAAAAGCGCTCAGGCAAATGGGATCCGTTCTATGAGATCCTCAACGATGATCTCGCCCGTTACACTTTGACGACCTTTTGCCTGATGGCTATCATCGTTTTTGCCTGGAGAGCATGGTTCCGCCTCTCCGCCCACCTGAGACAGTTGGCAAGCTTCAACAACGGACATCAACGTTACTTCATGACGCCTTCCGGGACGTTCGCTAAAATCAAGAACCATGTCGTCTACGCCCCGTTGTTCCGCAACCGTCACAACCGGGAAATGCAGCTGTCTCGGGCCGTCAACATGGGTACCCTCCCCAGCCGATTCCACGCCTTCATCCTCGTCGGTATCATCGCCATGAACGTGACGCTCTGTGTTGTTACCGTGCCGTACAAGACCGAGGAAGATAGCGTTGCTGGCATCATCCGGAATCGTACCGGCACCATGGCCACCGTGAACTTGGTTCCTCTCGTCTTGCTGGCTGGGAGAAACAACCCCTTGATCTCCCTTCTGCACGTCCCGTTCGACACCTTCAACTTGATCCATCGCTGGCTCGCTCGAATTGTTGTCTTTGAGACCCTGGCCCATGTGTTTGCCTGGTGCATTCCCAAGGCTCAAGAAGGTATATTTGAGAGAGATCCCCTTCCGTCAATCCTAGTTTACTTCGTGATACTGATTACCTTATAGCTGGCTGGGATATTGTGGGAATGGTGCTTGGAAAGAGCGACTTCTTCATCTACGGATTGCTGGTAAATAGTTGACAGACTGCTGGGTGTCGATCAGTTCTGTGGCTAACTTTTGCTTCCAGGCTACTTGCGCTTTCGTTGCGCTCATGCTGCACTCTGTCTCGCCCCTTCGGCATGCGTTCTATGAGACTTTCATTCATCTCCACATCATCTTTGCGGTTCTTTCCTTCGTCGGCCTCTGGGTTCACTTGGAAGGACTTGAAGCCCAGAAGTACTTGCTTGTGGCCATCATTTTCTGGGCGCTCGAGGTACGTGCAAATTGTTTCCTTCGATGTGTCGGATACTGGGATTGAAAGCTGACCACGAGATTTAGCGTTTCGCACGTCTTGTCATTGTTATGTACCGCAACGTTGGAAGACGCTCGACCACCGCTTTGGTCGAGGCTCTCCCGGGCGACGCTTTGAGAATCACGCTGAAGATGGCCCGCCCCTGGACCTTCAAGCCGGGCCAGCACATCTACCTGTATATTCCTTCCGTTGGATGGTGGATGTCGCATCCCTTCTCGGTCGGCTGGAGTGAGTCGGAGGAGGTCTTCACCGATGAGAAAGGCATCCCCATGACTCGACAGGAAACTCTCGGCACCGAGAAGACAACCCTCTCCCTCTTGGTTCGTCGCCGTACCGGCTTCACCAACAAGCTCTTCCAGCGTGCCGTGAGCTCCGTGGGCTCCCGGGTGACCTTGAAGGCCTGGGCCGAGGGCCCGTACGGCGCTATTCACTCCATGGACTCCTACGGCACCGTCCTTCTTTTTGCGGGTGGTGTCGGTATCACCCACCAAGTCCCGTTTGTGCGTCATCTGGTCCAAGGTCACGCTGACGGCACGGTCGCCGCTCGTCGTGTCACCTTGGTCTGGATCATTCAATCGCCGGAGCACCTCGAATGGATCCGTCCTTGGATGACCAGCATCCTGGCCATGGAGCGCCGCCGGGAAGTCCTGCGTATCATGCTGTTCATTACGCGCCCGCGTAACACCAAGGAGATCCAGAGCCCGAGTGCCACCGTGCAGATGTTCCCGGGACGGCCCAACATTGACACTCTGGTCGGCATGGAGGCGGAGAACCAAGTGGGAGCGATGGGTGTGTTGGTCTGTGGTGGCGGTGCTCTGAGTGACGATGTCCGAGGAGTCTGCCGTAAGAGACAAGGTCCCACAGACATCGACTTCGTCGAGGAGAGTTTCACTTGGTGATCGACCGGTGCACGGTTGGAAAGGGGCAGCATTCACCCTTTATACTGCGTGGGGAGTTCGTCAATTTTGGCCCCCATTGCGGTGCCCCCGCCCTTCCTGCGCCGAGATGAGGGGTTTGTAGATTGCAAATGGAGCGAGTTCAATTAGTTCTTTGGTATATATATCTACTATCGGTTTTGGTTAGCTACGGTCTCTTGCATACATTGTTAATTCATGAAAGACGCTCTGCCGTTCGTCCGGCTCGGGCGGTGACGGTCGGCGTACTTCCTGACAGATCCCCCATTTCTCACTGCTCGTAGACCTGATCATTATTCTTCAGTGTCTCCCAGCATTGATAACTGACTGCTCAAGGATTGCTGGACTTTGACTCTGCCAACACTCCGGGATCCCTCGTGCTCACTACACGAAGACTCGCGCTACGATGCAATCATAGAGCGACAGATCAGACACAACATTCACCCAGATGAATGACGAGGACTTGCATGACTACTTTGTACACCGTAGATTACTTGATCCGATCGGAGTTGATCTGACAATGACAGAGGAATTAATCATTCCCACCTTCAACGGCTTAGAAATCATGGTGGGGCGTTGGAGTTGCTGGAGGGTTCTCCATGTCCAGTGGATGGCATCATTCATGAATTAATCATCCACCGACGGAAATGAGCGGGGTCTTCAGAGCAACGGCTGCGTATAATTACTGCCGATTCCCTGGACTGTCTTCGTCGGTTAACAACAACTCTCTTCGTTGCTCTCGTCTGTCCAATTGGTCTCCGCTCTATCAGCACCAGCACTACTCCAACATGAGTCGCCCGGATCTCACGCTTTACACCTCCCAGACTCCCAACGGGATCAAGATCTCCATTGCGCTGGAGGAATTGGGGTACGTTGAACTCTCCACCGCTTGTGACTCCTCGAACTGAAGGCTAATCACTTGTTCTCGTTAGACTCCCCTACAAGGTGGAGAAGATCGATATCACCAAGAACACTCAGAAAGAACCGTGCGTTAGAACCACAGCTCCCCACCCTCCGTTCCATCTGGGAACCTCCTTGACGAGCCACAATCATTCTAACACCAGGCAGATGGTTCCTCGAGATTAACCCCAACGGCCGTATCCCCGCATTGACCGACACCTTCACCGACGGCCAGAAGATCCGCCTGTTCGAATCCGGCAGCATCCTGACCTACCTGGCGGAACAGTATGACAAGGACTACAGGATCTCCTACCCCAAGGGTACCCGCGAATACTACGAGACCATCAGCTGGCTATACTTCCAGAACGCCGGAGTCGGTCCCATGCAGGGCCAGGCCAACCACTTCTCGCGCTACGCCCCCGAGCGCATCGAGTACGGCGTGAACCGGTACGTCAACGAGACCCGTCGCCTGTACAGCGTGCTGGATCAGCACCTCTCGACCTCCAAGTCCGGCTATCTGGTTGGCGACCACATTACCATTGCCGATATCTCGCACTGGGGGTGGGTTGCGGCCGCCGGATGGGCGGGCGTCGACATCGAAGAGTTTCCCCATGTGAAGGCGTGGGAAGAGCGCCTGGCCGCCCGCGAGGGCGTCGAGAAGGGTCGCCATGTGCCTTCGCCTCACACCATCAAGGATCTCTTGAAGGATAAGGCGGAGATGGACCGCAAGGCGGCCGAATCTCGGGCTTGGATTCAGGATGGCATGAAGGCCGACGCCAAGCACTAATCCGTCTTGTTCTTGTAAAGTCCACCGAAAAACATTCATGCCGTGATGTATTATGCCTTGATAGTATGAGTATTTAGCTTAAATAAGATTGAAGATTGATCGCTGGGTAATCCTGGACGTTGGCCGTCATGATCTAGTTTCTTTGTTTCTTTCACTATTCTCTCACTGAAGAAGACACCTTTGTTCAGGCGCCAAGGCATAAACATTAGTCATCTCACGTGATCCCGGAGCTTGCCACATCGCGGGAGCTTCAGTCCGGAAGCCCTTTTCTTTTTTTGACCTCACATTCATCTGGGTTCAAAGAACCACTTAGTTGCTCACCAAATCATATTAACCTTGCTACCATAACAGCGGAATACTCAGGACCCATGGCCTGGCGTAATCAAGGAATCACCGGTTCCAACAACATCCCGTTGGGACGCAGACGATTCGGAGGCGACGATCCTGGTGAGGATGACAGTCGCACTGCAACTCCGTCGTCTGCGGACATCGGGTACAAGCGCGGTAGAAGTCCTGTTCGCGGTGTGTCCCCTATTCTTCTGACTAGACTTGTTGAAGATACCTTACTAACGCCTCACCCAGCCGACCCCCCTGCTGACGGTACGAAGAGGCGCAAGAAGCGCAACCGTTGGGGCGATGCGCAGGAGAACAAAGCCGCCGGTCTCATGGGCTTGCCCACGATGATCATGGCCAACTTCACCAACGAACAGCTGGAGGCGTATACTCTGCATCTGCGGATAGAGGAGATTAGCCAGAAGCTTCGTATCAACGATGTTGTTCCTGCGGATGGTGACAGGTGAGTGGCCTCCTTTTTGGCCCTTTTTCGTTCTATGTGTCTCTGTGGAGTTCTGTTGTCGTTTGATCATTTGATCGCCGCGCTAACTTTTCTTTTCTCTACAGATCCCCGTCGCCTCCGCCCCAGTACGATAACTTTGGCAGACGTGTAAATACTAGGGAATACCGTTACCGGAAACGCCTGGAGGATGAGCGCCACAAGCTCGTGGAAAAGGCCATGAAGACCATTCCTAACTACCACCCGCCCTCTGACTACAGGCGGCCTACCAAGACCCAGGAGAAGGTCTACGTCCCAGTGAATGACTATCCAGAGATTAACTTCAGTATGATAACTAACCCTCTAACTCCTAACCGTCCCTTGATTCTGTATTTCCATGACTCTGCTTTCTTGGCTCGAGTCGAGCTTATGGGAAAGACATCGTTCCGTCGATGCCTTTTCGGCTCGCTTCTTGCTAACCCTTGACTTGCTTGACCTTTTGCTATCTCTCGTTCCATTACTCAAAGAAAAGAAAACCAGCATGAACTAACCATAGCTTTTCGCTATCTTTTAAAGTTGGCTTACTCATAGGACCCCGTGGAAACACCCTGAAGAAAATGGAGACCGAATCTGGCGCCAAGATTGCTATCCGAGGCAAAGGCTCCGTCAAGGAAGGAAAGGGTCGCTCTGATGCCGCTCACGCTAGCAACCAGGAAGAAGATCTTCATTGCTTGATCATGGCAGATACTGAAGAAAAGGTTAACAAGGCGAAGAAATTGGTGCACAACGTCATTGAGACTGTAAGTCATCCGTCATGGGATATTTTCAAAAGAGAAATTACTGATGACTGTTATCAGGCTGCTTCGATCCCCGAAGGCCAGAACGAGCTGAAGAGGAACCAGCTTCGTGAGCTGGCTGCTCTTAACGGTACTCTCCGTGACGACGAAAACCAGGCTTGCCAGAACTGTAAGTACCGCGCTCTATACGCTATCGTTCAAGAACGAATTCTAACAGTCATTTCACCAGGTGGTCAAATCGGTCATCGCAAGTACGATTGTCCCGAGCAGCGCAACTTCACTGCCAACATCATTTGCCGCGTTTGTGGCAATGCTGGTCACATGGCTCGTGATTGTCCTGATCGCCAGAGAGGCAGCGACTGGCGCAACAACAGTGGCTTCGGCGGCGGCCGCAGAGCCATCGGTGGAGGCGATGCTGTCGACCGTGAGATGGAGGTAAGTTGCCTTACTGTCTTTGAATCTTTCACGTATCCTCTCTAACTTGGAACCTAGCAACTTATGCAAGAACTGTCGGGAGGTGCGCCGGGTGAGGATGGCCACGTGCCTCGTCGCATCGAAGCTGGTCCTGATCAGGGCTATGATGACCGCGACATGAAGCCTTGGCAACGAGGCCCGCCACCCAGCGATGTCGCTCCCTGGCAGCAGAGAGGCCGGGACAACCGTCGCGACGACTATGGACAGCGGGACCACGGAAGTGCAGCCCCATGGGCCCAGGGCCGCGGAGGAGGCGACTATGGATACGGTGGCCAGGGTGGCTACGGGGCTCCGCCTGGAGCTGCTCCATGGCAGCAACAAGCTCCCCCGCCGCCTCCTGGCGGACAGCCGTCGTATGGATACGGTGGTTATGGCGGCTACGCCCCGCCGGTGCCCGGTATGGGAGCCCCCCCTGGTGCGCCTCCTGGTCTGGGTGTGCCGCCCCCTCCCCCAGGCATGCCATCGATGTACTATGGCTCTGGCGGAAGCCCTCCCCCGCCGCCTCCGGGCGAGGGACCCCCACCCCCGGTATGTGTTTCATCCTTTTGAATACGACAGATCAGTTACTAACTCTGGATACAGCCTCCCAGCGACCAGCCTCCCCCTCCCCCTCCTCCCGCTTAAACGCGCGACTCTCGTGTATTTTGCTTAATGCTTTTGCTACGAAACGTGATTCTGAAAATTACTGCAGATCAAAAGTCACCACCAGCTTGATTAGAAAAAAGGGACGGTGGAAGGCCGAAGGGGAAGAAACCCGTAATGCTTTGTATTCTTTGCCTGTGCTCTGTTTAGGTCGATAGTCCACGTTTTACTAGTTCATTGGCCAATCGATCAGTCATTTTGAAAAGAAATTCAAGGGCTCGTATATGTAGTTTGCTCCTGGGCATCTTGTTCGTTGTCATGCATGCATAAATAGGTGACATGTTAGGTAGGTAAATCCCACCAGTGACGGCCTGCAATTCATACCCCGGAAAAACCTCAGCTGTCGGTTGCCTGATTGGCTAAACACTCTTCCATGGTGGCCTCAGGCCTCCGCGGTCCCCACCGTCTTTCGACCTTTTGTCTCCTCCATTTCCTCTCCATCCCAATTTCCAATTGACGTTCTGGTTCTTTGCTCTGATCGAGGAATGCAATCCCTCTAATAAATCTGCGCTCTTTCTAGGAGCTCGAACTCGTCGACCTTCCCCATTTGCACATACCTTCGTAATTCTTTTCGTACCACTCACTCATTTGTCACTCAACCGTACAGTGTACACTAACTTACACTACCGCCGCCGTGCAACATGCAAGAATCCGGTCAACCAGGAGGAGATTTATCAATCTCCGGGCCCACTTTCCATTCAAATTCTCCGTCGTCGTCTCACGCTCAGCGAAGATCTTGGCAGTCGCGGTCTGGAGGGGGAAGATCCGAACCTCATCCGCTCCAGGGTTCTTCTACTATCGCCCGAGAGCAGTCCCGGCATGCACCGTCGTCGGCTGGCGGGGCGTCGTCAGCGCGCACTGCGAAATGGTGGCGCGTTCGGCTCTTTCGAGGTATGATTTTAGATGTTAAGAGGCGGGCACCGTACTATTGGAGTGATTGGACGGATGCGTGGGATTATCGCGTCGTTCCCGCGACGGTGTATATGTATTTTGCGAAGTAAGCTGCTGCTGCTGTTGTTCTTTCATGGTGGTATGGATATTGTGCTAATTGGGGATTTGACAGTATTCTGCCGGCTCTGGCCTTCTCGTTGGATATGTTTGAGAAGACGGAACAGAGTTATGGTGTGAATGAGGTGCTCTTGGCCTCGGTGCTGGGGGCGGTTGTGTTTTCCCTGTTCGCGGCCCAGCCTTTGGTCATTGTTGGTGTTACTGGTGAGTCTGGATTGCTGGCTGGAGTAGGAGTGTTTGGCTCATGGCTTGTTGTTTAGGTCCGATCACGGTGTTCAATTATACAGTCTATGATATCATTGCTCCGCGGGGAACACCTTACCTTGCGTTTATGTGTTGGATTGGAATGTAAGTTGTCTCTGTGTTTTTCATTGGCTGATGCATGCTGACAGAGTGTAGTTGGTCTCTGATAATGCACTGGATCCTTGCTATAACTAATGCTTGCAATGGGTTGACCTATGTCACTCGGTTTTCCTGCGACATCTTTGGATTCTACGTCGCCTTTATCTACCTTCAGAAAGGTATCCAGGTCCTGACGAGGCAATGGGGCACCGTTGGGGAGACATCCGCCTACTTGAGCATCATGGTCGCATTGCTGGTTCTCATGAGTGGATGGATCTGCGGTGAGCTTGGGAATAGTAGTCTTTTCCAACGATACGTACGGAAGTTCCTGGAAGATTATGGTACCCCGTTGACGATTATCTTCTTCACTGGATTCGTTCACATCGGTCATATGCGCAATGTCGACGTTGCAACGCTGCCTACCAGCAAAGCGTTCTTCCCAACGGCCGATCGTGGATGGTTGGTGCACTTCTGGGATATCAGTGTGGGCGATATCTTCCTTGCGATTCCGTTCGCGCTGCTTCTTACAATTTTGTTCTATTTTGATCACAACGGTAAGCATTGAATCACTCTGGTCTGGATTTGAAGCTAATCGCCATAGTGTCGTCCCTTATCGCTCAAGGAACCGAGTTTCCTCTTCGGAAACCTGCTGGTTTCCACTGGGACTTGTGGCTGCTGGGGCTCACCACTTTCATCGCCGGCTTGTTGGGTATCCCGTTCCCTAATGGACTGATCCCTCAGGCGCCGTTCCATACGGCTGCTCTTTGCGTGACGCGAGACGTCGCGGATGAGGATGATACGAACAAGGGCAAGGCCGTCCGCATCACGGATCATGTCGTCGAACAGCGAGTCAGTAACTTCGCTCAAGGGCTTTTGACCCTCGGTACCATGAGCGGACCCCTTCTCATCGTTCTGCATCTGATCCCGCAAGGTGTCATGGCTGGGCTGTTCTTCATCATGGGCGTCCAAGCGCTTCAAGGGAACGGGATCACACAAAAGCTCATTTTCCTAGCTCAAGACAAAGACTTTACCTCGGGCTCTAACCCCTTAAAGAGGCTCGAGCGTCGTACCGCTATCTGGGCCTTTGTCATTCTGGAGCTGATTGGTTTCGGTGGTACCTTTGCCATCACTCAGACGATCGCTGCCATCGGGTTTCCCGTGATCATCCTACTCCTTATTCCAGTGCGCGCATTTCTCCTACCTAGATGGTTTACGCGGGAAGAGCTCTTCACATTAGATGGGCCCACAGCAAGTCCGTTCACCATGGAGAGTGTCGGGGGTACTCATGGGATAGACGAGGATGCTGCCCCTGTGGGCTCGGCCACTGGAAGGGACAATCATAGCCAACACAATCGCAAGACGGAAGGCGATAACACGGTCATGATGCGTCGTGATATGAGTACATCTTCTGAATCGCCGGTTGATGACGACCTGGAGCGCGGCGAGGCCTATGAGCTACAGACTAGATCTTCCGTTCGCAGACGCAGCACAACAAGCAGAGCTGAATAAGTCTCTACTTCTGATGACGCAGGGGCCTTGCTCAGCGGCACCTTTCTTCTTTTTGGATACAAAAGTTTCTCTCATATAAATGACCTTATTATATAATCGTCCGTGTATTTTGGTTGGCTCTGGCTGACAATGAGACGCTCGAATCAGATGTCTTAGATTTTGTTTGCATTTTTGTTTTCTAATATTCGAAGACGTTGCTGTACTGATCGTATATACCTACTGTTTGGCGATGTATTTACCTTACTTTTGGATGAATTGGCACCAATCCTCCCCGCTGATGAAACTAGCAGTCTTCCTGTCCTCTTGGGCTTACATCATGTGATCTAAGCACAGGCTGTAAGCTGTTGGGCCTCCATTTGATTCGTTTCTTTGATCTGGTCTCTAATACGAGCTTGGACAGACCACTCCCTGGTATTTTCGGTTTTGTTGCGCTTGGCAAATATCATTGCAGAAAACCAACTGCTCCGGCGTGAATTTGCAGATAACCATTGGCTGGGCCTGTGCAGCCGAAGTCTCTAACCATGGAGGTCAACGATAATGGAAGCAATAGGAAGCCCGCCGTGAGTTACAGACGTACTATGTTGCTCAATGTGCCGAACCATGGGGTTAATATGACCGAAAGTGTGATAATTGCAAAGATAGAAAGGTAAAATCACCAGTGCCTCGATGCCGGGATCCCAGATGTCTCAGGACTATATAGTGACCATGGCACCAACAGACCAAATGCGACCGCCGATCCCCATGCTCTAGCTGCATCGCCGCGGCGCTTGATTGCCGGATTACTCGTCGAGTTCCGGAAAGACGACAACGAGTTCTTATATCTGCCCGCTACGATGAAGCTATGGAAAACGTGAACCGTTCGCTTCAGGAAGTATCGCAGGGGCTGCAAAAGCTCCTTCGGAACAGCGAACAGACCAAACACTTTCCTAATAGCTCTCCTGCCTTGTTCACTGCTAACTATGTATCGAATACATCTGGTCTCTCGGAGGGGTATAGGGGCGATTCTTCATTCAAAGCGCACGTCCAGCGGGTGACGGAAGCCTTGAGGGACGCCGCGGCGAATGTGGATTCAAGCCTAACCGACCAAAACTTCGCTACGGCTATGAGTGCGACGCAATTGATCAAAGAGGCGACCGATAGCGAGGAAACGACTTCTAGAGAGGAAAGCGTCAATTCACCTTCGTTCAAAGTCCAATACCCGGAATTAGAAGGCAGACCACTTCCGCCCCTCGAACCTGTGCTCAAGCTCCTCCGGCTGCTACAGACTGAGAAGCAGCGCTTTTTTATTGACGTTCCGGTTATAGATGAGGCCGAATTTGTTGAATTATGCCAGAAGGTCTATTTTGCGATTAACGACTACTCACTGTCGGCATGGGCCACCGTTAACACTGGATTATATTACTTATTCCTTGGCCTTGAGGAACATGAACGCTCCCAGGTCGGCCTGACGCTCGCCGACATACGGACATATACGCAGTTGTTGTCAGTCAACATAGAAGCCGGCATACAATCATTTAGACTCTGTCATGAGTCATCGATGGAAGGATGCCAGGCTTTAGCACTTCTGGTAAGCATAAGATGCCTTTGCTTAACATGATACTAAGTTAGAAAGACTGCATTCTGTATGAAATCGGGACGGAGTGCACTAGCCTGGTCATTGATCGCAGCTGCTTCCAGGATGTGCATCGATCTCGGCTGGCATCGCCTGCCTACGCATCCCAAGGGACCGGAACTGTCAAAGAAACGGAGAATTTTCTGGTGGGTATATGTCATCGACAAGGGCATGGCCTTCACGCTTGGCAGAACTCCTTCAATTCATCAGTACGATGTCGCGACGGAGCGGACGTCGTTTCCGTTGGACATACCAGGGCCGCCGGGATAGTAAGTGGCAGTACCCTTCGAAATCATGCTAGTCTGACTCTGCCATAGCCTGTACGGTGGCTTTGTTGAATTCGCTGTCATTGTGGGCGACATGCACATACAGCTTTTCTCCGCATCTGCTCAACGAACGTCACCACAAGTCCGCGTTGAGAATGCCAAAGCCTTCGCTTCCAGGCTCTTCCAAGTGAACAATAGCTTGAAGCAGGTGCGTACAGCATTCGTTGCTGTAGACATGACAGTCTCTTTAATCACAATCATAGACTCTCCGAGACGAACCCCCTACAGACGCCAGGTTTCAGGATGCAAGCGTGCTCTTCGACATCATCATGCACTGCCTCGTGACAATCGTATATCGTATCGTCCCCTGTGCTGAGCCCAAACCTCACCCACTGAAATGCCACACCGGCTGTATCGAAGCGGCACGACAAGCCCTCTCCACGATTGTGCAGGCAAGCCAGACGCTAGGCCAGCGCAATCCACTGGGCTGGAGCATGTTTCTGAACTTGTAGGTGTTCTTGAAGTCATCTCTCCAAGTAAAAAGTCTAATTCCGAACAGGCTGTTTTCCCTCGTCCCATTCGCATGCTTTATAGTGTTAGCAGGAAACACCATCGCCTGCTCATCCACCGAGGACCTAGCACTCCTATCTGCCGCCGTACGGGCCATTAAACCGATGGCTGCCAGCTCTCCCACAGGAAGAAAGCTTTATGACGTCTGCAGGTCTTTCTATCAGGTGGCTAGCTTCTCAGTCACCCGACATGCAGCTATGTCCGCCGCCCCGGCATCCGCCCCTGTGGCTGTGACTCAAGTATATGAACATCTGCCCGTAGGGAACTTCTCGGAGACGCTTGATAACTCGGCAGCGCCGCTGTATGAACACATAATGGCTCCGCAGGACTGGGATACCGTTATGGGCGAGTTTGATCTGGGGATTGGCGCGGGGGCGATGGCTTCTTTTGTGGAGCCGTATATTCCGTTTGATGGGCGGGTGCCTTAGATGGCCGAACGGGACGGGTCTGTGAGGAATCGATGTGTTTTCGATATGATGAAAGCACTGTACTTGGTGTTTGAGGCTTGCATCCCGAGTACCAAGCAGTGTCGTGACCGGAGGGGCTCTGGTCTAGGTTGACGAGGAGACTGTCTTCTGTCGAGACTATCAAGAGATCCATCAGTACCCACATAGGATCTATTGTATTCGAGAACGAATGTATTATGTTAGATGTAGCATCGTAGACTTCAGTTACACTAGGCCCTTTGGGGGTTTATGTGATATGCCCCGGGCCCCGAGGCCTCCGGGCAGGATGCGCGCCTTATATTAGCGTCTCCACCGTAGATGATATTCCCCTACACATACATACCAGTAACATTGAGCCGCGGGTGTTGGCTAAGGGTCTGCAAAAGCATCATAGATCTAATTACCGCATTCGGTTAGCCCACAGCCAACAGCTCACGTGCTCGACCGCCTTCCACGCGGTCAAGGTTTCTGCCACCAAATCGGAAGATTTTCAAAAAAAAAAAAAAAAAAAAAAAAATTTTGGAACAAGAAAGAGACTCTACAAAATCAACAAGACAAGCATGGCTTCATCACGCTCTTCCTCGCCCGTCTCAGACGAGGAAATTCACCAGGCCCCCAGCGCCTCCGAGTCCGGATCCGGATCCGAATCTGAAACAGAGCAGACGACCGACCTCCTGCAGACCCGCGCCCCCAAACGCCGTCGTCTCTCCGAGTCGTCCACCGATTCGTACGTTGCTGCGCCGGCGCCGCTCCCCACGCTATCGCGTATCAAAAAGAAGGGGACTGCCGATGAGGACAAAGCCAAGGCAGGTGGTCAGGATACTAACCCGGTGTTGATCCGCGATGCGGTCGAGATTGGTCTGCAGGATGCCGAATCGTCGTTTAAGGCCCTGAAGGTGGCGCCGTGGTTGGTGGGTTCGTTGACTACCATGGCGATTAGGAAGCCGACGGCTATTCAGAAGGCTTGTATACCGGAGATTCTGAATGGGAGGGACTGCATTGGAGGTAGTCGCACGGGTTCGGGTAAGACGGCGGCGTTCGCGGTGCCGATTCTGCAGAAGTGGGCGGAGGATCCGTTTGGGATCTTTGCGGTTGTGTTGACCCCGACGAGGTATGTTAGATTTATGTTCTGCTGGTATTGGAGTTAGGGACGGGGAAGGGATGGCTAGTGGTGGTATTGAGTGCTGATGGATTGTGGCGTGCAGAGAACTTGCGTTGCAGATTTTCGAACAGATCAAGGCCATCTCGGCGCCGCAGGGTATGAAACCCGTGCTCATCACCGGAGGCACCGACATGCGGCCCCAGGCGATCGCCCTATCTCAACGACCGCACGTGGTCATTGCGACCCCCGGCCGTCTGGCCGACCACATCAACACCTCCGGCGAGGACACCATCCGCGGCCTCAAGCGCGTGCGCATGGTCGTTCTGGATGAGGCCGATCGTCTACTCGCCCCCGGCCCCGGCAGCATGCTCCCGGACGTTGGCACCTGTCTCTCGGCCCTGCCGCCCTCCAGCGAGCGCCAGACGCTCCTCTTCACCGCGACCGTGACGCCCGAGGTGCGCGCCCTAAAGGACATGCCCCGGGCGGCTGGGAAACCACCCATCTTCGTGACCGAGATCGCCACCGAGAACAAGGACACCATCCCGCCGACCCTGCGCCAAACCTACCTCAAAGTACCCATGACGCACCGCGAAGCCTTCCTGCACGTCCTCCTCTCCACCGAGGGCAACGCCTCCAAACCCGCCATCATCTTCTGCAACCACACCAAGACCGCCGACCTGCTGGAGCGCATGCTCCGTCGGCTCTCCCACCGCGTCACCTCCCTGCACAGTTTGCTGCCGCAGTCGGAGCGAAACGCCAACCTGGCGCGCTTCCGCGCCTCCGCGGCCCGCCTGCTCGTCGCCACTGACGTCGCCTCCCGTGGTCTGGATATCCCGTCCGTTAGCCTGGTCGTGAACTTCGACGTGCCGCGTAACCCGGACGACTACGTGCATCGTGTGGGTCGTACGGCGCGTGCGGGCCGACACGGTGAAGCGGTGACGTTGGTCGGACAGCGTGATGTGCAGCTCGTGCTGGCGATCGAGGAGCGCGTGGGCCGCCAGATGGAGGAGTGGTCCGAGGAGGGAGTCAGCGTGGAAGGGCGGGTGGTACGCACCGGCGCGCTCAAGGAAGTCGGACAGGCGAAGCGAGAGGCATCGGGCGAGATCGAGGAAGGTCGAGACGTGTTGGGACGGAAGAGAAACAAGCTGAAGAAGGTGCGGTGATCTATCTGCTTTGCCTCTTCTTATGCTTTTATGCTCTTTCCATGCATTGTTGGAGGAAGAGCAAATAAAAGTCAAGGGATCTTGTACATATATCTGGGAAGTTTCTGTCTAGCGATTTAGATTTTAAATATGATGAATGGATTTAAACGCTCCCTTTTGCTCAATTAATGCATGTAGCAGTAGTAGCACTATTGCGGCTAACCCACCCCAGAAGACAATCTCGAGAAACTCGCTTCGGCTGTAGTCGTTTCGATTGCGGCCCTGTCCCTTCCCTTCTTCCTTAGGGACTGGACCCAATGAAGAGAGGTGCTGCGTCGCTGGGCACAGAGTGCAAAGGATGATTCAACGCAAGAAACTTTGATCCAAAGACTTTTTTCTTTTCATTGTCTCTTGAGCAGGATATCAAGACATCCAAGTAAATATGTACTATACACGAAAAAGCCAAAAAAAAAAAAGGACCACCAAAAAATGCACCAAACCCGCACGTGGTATCAATGTGACTGTGACTATCGCTCATTGCTCTCCCAAGGCAACAGACGTTGTATCCAGGTATTAAGAAAGTCCATGCAAAAAATCTGTCTAATATGGTCGTGATGAACGAGGATCTCCTTCCCGGAGTGTTAGCTCCTCTGCTCTTTTATCCTCTTTTTTTTTTCCCGTTGAGTGTTGTGTTTCTTCTATCTGCAATGCAAGACCAATTTCCTTCTCTTCCGTCCACTTCCGAAAGATCACGGAGAAGGTGTTCTAATCTGGAATTCAAAATTGAACGTATTTCATTCATTAGCCGGAGTTCACTGACCCTGCCCACGGGCTTGGATCGTCGCGTTTCTCCCCCGTGCTCATGAGCTTGAGAAGTCCGTCCACAGCGTCTCCCCGTTGAGCCGGCGTGACGAACCGTTGCTCCCTCACGACATCCTCTTGCTGACTCGACTCTGCTGCCACCGGGGTTCGCATGGCTCTTCCGCCCCGTGAGGCGCTCGCGGGCGGACTACTCAGCTGCATCGGGGACCCCGCGGTATCTGTGCGTCGGTGGGTCTTCTGCGTCGGGGTCTTCATCGGGTCATCCTGGGCGTGAGCATTCCCCGCCGACAGGGGCGGAGACGAGAGACCCGACGGGGCAGGAGGGACCGTAGTCTCGGAGGAGGGATGGGTGAGCGCCTGGGACGGCGGGAGGGCTCGAGGAGTGGAAGAAGGGGAGCTAGAGCTGGCGGCGGGGTCCTCCTTGACGAGTGGACTCCGGGTGGAGGAGGCTTCGGGTAAGGACAATCGGGGTAATTTGCGGCTGTGGGCTTCCAGCTCGGACAACCGGCGGTCGAATTGAGGGTCTCGAACATGGCGCATGGCGCTTTGGATTCGGTTTCGGAGAAGGCTGGCTTTCTATAACGCGGTTGATCTATGAGTTTCCTGGACTTTGTTGTTCATAATCTGATACGGCTCCACCATACCTGTTGGATAAACAACTTTCGCGTCTCGGGGTCCTCAGGCACCGGACGCGTTGTTGATCGTGATTCTTCTAGGGATGGTTTGCTTGTTTCGGGTTCTAGAGTTGATTTGGGTTGCTCGTGTGTTTGTGACTCGGGGAGGGCTTGGTTGGTCTCTCGCGGTTCAGTCGCGGGTGCCTGTACATCTGATGTCGTGGTGTGTTCTCGGGGAGAGGATGGTGAAAAAGAGGAAGGCTAGCACGAAGAAAGAAACTCCAAGTCAGCACTTCATGACTCGACGCCTGCATTGGCAATGGGAACTCTTACCCGACCAGTCGCCTGGACCGTGACAGCTTCGTCGCGAACGCGTAGCCAGTCTTTGTTTGCAGACACCCCGTGATCCACTTGGTCAATGGAGCGTTTTTGACCAGCAAAAGACGGCGAAGGGAGCAATTGCTTCTTGGGCGAGGGGATATCGAGGAACGAGTGTTTAACAGGCGAGACTTGTCGATGAGGGGACAGACACGCGTTGACGGTCTTTTCGCCGAGAATGCGTCTGCCATCCTTGACAGGGCTCGCGTGCAAAGTAGTAGAGTTCATTGCGGAGGAATTGGGAAATAATATGAAGTGATGGAGAGAAGAGGGAGTACGAGAGGAAGAGGGGAGGGGAGGAGGTTGGGCGTGTTGTATAGAAGAGAGACGGAGACGATGCTATAGTTCGCGTGTTCTCGGCGAAGAGATGAGGGGATTTATAGGAAAGGTAGACCGAAGAGGATCCCGAGGGACCAAGAGAAGCAAAGCTCGTGAGCAAGAGAGGTAGAGACGAGCAATGGATGAGAGAAGAGGAAGTACCGAAGCGAAGGGAGTATTTACTCAAGGTACGCCTCGCCTCGCCTCGCGTGGGACAACTTCGCGCTCGATTGGTCGCGCTATCGCCGCTTAGCTCAGCGGTACCGTACCTGGTACGGCACGTGAAGTACGGTACCGTATGGGGCGTCCGTGCGGGATTTGTCTGGTTTGTCTGATGTGTCTGCCCCAGGTGTCCAGGTGTCCAGGTGTCTATCACCCCATTCAAGATGGAAGGCCTGAGGAAGCTCAACTCAAGTTGTCCTCCGTAATGCTTTCCTTCTCTCCCGCTCTCCATCTCCTGTCAAACCTGTCACAATGGGATCTGTCAATTCGTTGTCCCCATTGCGGGCATCCACATTCCGTCATGAATCATCGAACCAGAAGCTTTCCCCGCATGCATTTCCCCGTCGATCCTCCCATGCATTCCTATAAAGCTGCTCCATCCCTGCATGTCCGTCACGTCTGCGCCCTTCTTTCGCCAATTCCCGGTCTCGTTGCTTTCTTCCGCCCTTATCTCCATACAAATTAACTCGGGGTGGCTGTGGTCGATCATTGCCCTATCGAACTGCCCAGGACGCCCCATTGCATCATCAAGGTTACCCCGGCCCTGTCAATCAGGCAGTCAGGGAGCCCCGGAATCCTTCAACTCCATCTCTCGTCCTCCCAGTCTTTGTCCCTACCTCGGTTGCACTGGTAGTGACTTGAACTTTTCTCGCAATGCGATCCCTTGCGGTGTTGGTTACTGCTCTGCAGGCCACTGTCGCTACAGCCTCGTCTCTCACTCCTCCTGTTCTGCCGTTGATCGTGCGCAATCCCTACCTCAGCACTTGGTTGGGCAATGCCCGCGATGAACCGTGGTCAAAATGGCCTATCTTTTATACCGGAGAGGAGATAGGCTTCTCCTTGATGGCTCAGATCCCCAGCACGGGCACTGTCTTTCCGCTATTGGGCAAGCCTCATGATTCTTTGTCGTCTGATTCCGGGTATGTAGAATGTCGTGGGCGATCTGTTTGCTAGCTTGTCTAACCTGAGCCTCGCTATTCAGCTCGCCTGCGGTCGAATATCCGACCTATCTCGGTTCTAGATATGACGCGTCGACGACTAACTTGACGTATCGGTTAAACTCATCTTCTTCTGCCTCCTCTGCCTCTTCTCCCTTGGAAATCACGGTTTCGTTCCTGTCCCCCATCACGCCCACTTCGACTCTGCGGCAGTCGATCCCCGCCTCATACGTGACGGTCTACGTTCATGGCGATGTGGCAGTCAGTATATATATGGATGTCAACGGTCGGTGGGTAAGCGGGGACGCTGGAAGTCAAATCAATTGGGAGCATGATGGACTAGGCTCCGAGAGCAACAAGCCAGTTCTGCAGCGATGGAAATTGCGACGAGAGTCAGAACTGCTCCTGTCAGAGATTCGTGATCGGGCGGAATGGGGCACTCTTCATTTCACTGGTCCTTCGGTTCGTATTTGCTCTGGTGTGCGGTGTAGATTGCGACTAACTCTCATAGAATGTCGAATACGAATCCGGAGACTCTGCGGACGTGCGACGAGCTTTCGCATCTAGCGGAACCCTGCGCAATAAGAATGACGGTTCGTTCCGCGCGATTGGAGACCGTGAGCCCGTAGTTGCTTTCTCTAAATCATTCAACTCCTCTCGCAAGACCGGCGATAGCGTGACCTTTACCATTGCCCTAATCCAGGACCCGGTGGTCCAGTATGCCTCTTCCCGCGGATTGACCCTAATGCGGCCTCTGTGGGAATCATGGTTCCACAGCGTTGAGTCGCTGCTGAACTTCCACTACCATGATTTTGCCGATGCGGCTGCCTTAGCCTCCAATTATTCTGAACAATTGGCCGAAGATGCCTACCAGTCTGGTGCAGACGACTATGTGGACATCGTCGCGCTTTCAGCACGACAGGTCATGGGAGCTACAACTTTCTCCGGCACCCCAGACGATCCGATCCTGTTCCTGAAGGAGATCTCTTCCAATGGCAACTTCCAGACCATTGATGTTATCTTCCCTGCCTTCCCCTTCTTCTTGTATACCAACCCCCGATGGCTTGCCTATCTCTTAGAGCCCTTGATCGAGCATATGTTGAGTGGACAGTACCCAAATTCCTATGCTATGCACGATCTCGGAGCACACTTCCCCAATGCCACGGGCCACCCTGACGGCAAAGACGAATACATGCCTGTGGAAGAATGCGGGAATATCCTCATTATGGGACTGGCAATGGCAAACTCCCTGCGTTACGATCATGATTCAGCCGCGTCTTCTATCTGGTCAACCCAAGGTGTATCTCCCCAGATTCGGGATGAGACAACAGGGTACTTCCCCCTCTATAATCTCCAGGGAATCGGTGGAATTGACCAGCAAGACGGTAAATGGGGCGGTGGCTTGGAAGGCGAGCACCTGGCGAAGAAGTGGATTCAGCGCAGCTACCGACTCTGGAAACAGTGGACTGGCTACCTGGTCGAATTTGCCTTGGAGCCTGAGAATCAACGTAAGGATACCCATTCCTACTGAATAGCACGGCACTGACTTCGATATAGTTTCCACGGACGATTTTGCTGGCTGGCTCGCACTCCAGACGAACTTGGCGCTGAAGGGCATAGTCGGTATCAATGCCATGAGCAAGCTGGCCGAAATCGCTGGACACGACTCCGACGCCTCTTACTACAAGGTTTGTCAACAGATTCGCGAAGCTTTCTTTATCTTGCTGACCGACATTGTACAGAATATCTCCGATACCTACATTGCCAAATGGGAAGAATATGGTATGTCGCGAGACCAAACGCATGCCAAACTGGCCTATGACTGGTACGGCTCGTGGACGACGATCTACAACCTCTACGCCGACGCACAGCTCTGCTTCCACCTCGATGGCACCGGCATCAGACCCCGCGACCGCGCCCAATCCCCTCTGACACCCCCTTCATCCCCAAACAAGGAAAAGACCGGCTTCATCCCACGCCACATCTACCAGCGCCAATCCATTTGGTACCATAACGTGCGCCAGAAGTACGGCCTCCCGCTAGACAGCCGCCACCTATACACCAAGACAGACTGGGAGTTCTTCTCGATGGCCGTTGCCAGCAAGCCCGTGCGCAGCGAGATCCTCGAATCCGTCGCCAAATGGATCAACGAAACCGTCACCGATCGTCCCTTCACCGACCTCCACAACACAGAGGGCCAGGGCGGGTTCCCCGGCCCGAACTTCTTCGCTCGCCCCGTGATCGGCGGCCATTTTGCCTTCCTGGCCCTCCAGCGTGCGTGTGGCGGTAAGGCCATGGACAGTCTGGCCTTCTTGGATGAGGGCCATGACGAGGCGTTCTCGGAGGAGACTTTGGCTGAATGGACTGTCGCTGCTGAGATGGCTGTCAGCCAGTTGCAGGACCCTGGGTATGGCTATGGGTCTGAGAGGGAAGACCTGTGAAGTCTTGATTCTTTCCTCTCTTGTAGTTGACTGCCATTCGCCTACAAGAAAGAGAGAGAGAGGAACAATTAGGCCAATTGGAAATGACTGTCAATCTCTTTGCAAAACTTCTATCTATGCTAACTTGAGTGATGGATTTTGGTTTGGATTGGAATATACTTCTTTCAGACTCAATTTTCATACTTATATATAGCAATGAAATAAGCTACGATTTGATCTTTCCACATGGACTAGAAAAGTGAAGAGGTTATTTCTAGATTCTATCCACCTTGGTATGAGCAAGTCAATGACAATGACATACATGACTTCATAATCTTATATCCAAAGACCAAAGCCACAAAGCGAAGATCATACAAGTATCATCTACACATCTACAGGAATTCAGTGTGATTTGAAATTCACATTCCTATTTTTTGACATTCAAATCAAATTACAGGGCCATTTTAAACCTAAACGCGAGGGGATCGAATCATTTCATCACGTTTCCATTTCCTGCCATCCATATCGCGTCATTTTACCAGGAAAAAGGCAATATCGCAAAGTGGTTTCTCTCCGATCGTTTTACTTTTTTTTTTGTTCTCCTTTTGGGTGGTTATGTGGGGGGTTGTGGTATGTTTGTTGAGGCTGAACCCTGTTGGATGCTTCTTGAAGAGACTTTCACGAAACTGAGGACATCCCCCGAACGGAGACAAACGGTTGGAATGAAAAACCGAATTTATTTGCCCAGAGAGGGGAAGTTCTTCTCGTCGACGGAGACGGCGGGGGCAGCACCGGCGGGACGGTCACCACCACGGGGGCCGTTGCCACGACCGCCACGGCCACCGCGACCACCACGGCCGCCACGGCCACGGGGAGCACCGCCGCCACGGGGGGCCTCGACGTAGCGCAGGTCAACGTCAAGGAAGTTCTTCTCCTTGCGCTGCTTCTCACGCTTGTTCTTGTCCTCCTTGCCCTTGAAGTAGTTCTCCTCTTCCTCGTCACGCTTGAGCTCCTTGGCCTCGTTCCACTTCTTGTCGGCCTTGGTGCCCTCGTTGGCGGCGCGGACGGGCTTGGCACTCAGGTCACCCTGGGCAGCCTTCTCGGCCAGGTAGTCGGTGTACGACTTGGACTTGTCAGCCTCCTTGGCCTCCTCGCCAGGAGTCTGGGGCTCGGCCTCGTCGTTCTGGGCGATGGCCTCGGCGGCCTTCTCGTCGGCCCATTCCTTGTCACCGCTCTGGCCACCCCAGCCCTGGTTCACCTGCTTGCGGGTGTCACTGTAGAAACCAGGCCACATAGTTAGATCGAGAAAACCCGAAGACACAAGCGTCCGAATCGATGTCACTTACGTCTGACCAGTGCGGGACTGGCGGTCGCTGCGACCACCACGGCCACCGCGGCCCTCGCGCCGTTGGGGCTGGGCACCATCTTCAGTGGGCTTCTCGCGGTTGTTGTTGCGGCCGGCGTTGCGGTCACGGAAAGCTACGGCAAGACGTCAGACACCAGATCCAGGTCGGAGGACAATCAGAGCGGGAGACATACCGGCCTCGTTGCCAGTGGGGCGACCACCGCGGCGGGGAGCAGACTCGCGAGTCTGGACGGGGGCCTCCTTGGGGGCGTCCCGCTTGCCGACACGGTTAACGGGCTTGTCTAGAGCTTTCGTGGGAGGAGCAGGCTCTCTGTTGGGGTCAAGTTCAGGGTCATTGCCTAATCGCGAACGAAAGAGAAGTAACGGTCAGGTTAGAGATGAGATGATGATGACGATGATGGTGATGATGTAATTGATGAGGTGAGGTGGTTGGGTGCAACAAGGTGCCAGGCTGAGACCCAATGAGGGGGAGAGGAGGGGAGGGGAGGGGAAGGGAAGGGTATCAAATTACCAAGAAGCTCGTAGAGGTTCTATTTGAAATGAAACATCCGTCAGCATTTGCTTTGTTCTTCTTCGTGTTCTCCACATCTTCTTTCGTGTTTTCTGATCCGCGGACTTCTCTCTCGATTCTTTGTCTCATCCACCCGGTCGGGTTTTTGTTCGCGAAAATCGACCGAAACACAGAAAGATCGTCCCAGGTCGACCGGGTTCAACCCCCCTCCCTCTTTCGTCCAATTGATTCTTGTCATTTCGAAGAAGGAAATCGGACAGACCAAGAGAGCCGGGGATCAACGCGGTCGGCGGACAGTGGGAAGACAGAGAGCTGAAATCTTCTCGATAGCACATACCTTGGACCGGACGTCCGCCATGACGCCTGGGTTTCTGGGGGCCTTCCGGGGGAAGGCTCTCTGTTATCGCGGCAATTCGGTCGGGGAAACGGAGGGCGCAAGCGACGAGTAAGGCAGAAACCTAGACGGCGTAGGTATCCGGCCTCTCCTGGATGATCTGGGGGGGATGGGATGGGATGGAGATGGAGATGAGGAAGGGGTGACGGTGCCGTGATGGAGTCGACGTTTGTGGTTGCATCGCCCCGATCGGGTAAGGTGCGCGCTGCTGCTAAGCGAAGGCCGGTTTAGGCAGCCTGATTGGCCGTGGGGCGTCTAGGGCTTAGGGTATTGGCGTCACCACCTCCCAAGGTGAGCTTTCGTCATAGCCTTTACTTCCGGTGCATAGCTGGAGCTGGAGCTGGAGCTGAGAGCGGCTGACGGAGTATAACTCCGGGGTACTTATAGTAATAGTAACGACTATATACAAGTAGACTTGTACTTGTATACCTGTATTCCAGGTATTCAAGTATACAAACACCCTCCCCCCTATGAATCCTCCCCAATCTTCGCATACAGCTCGCTATTCAGGAAATTATACTTCGGGTCGGGCTCGCAGAAAGGATGTCGCGTGAGCAAAGTCTCCGCCGTGGGCCGGTCCAATGAATCCCTGCAAAAGATTCCGCATTAGTAATATACCAATTCAGAGTTCAAATGACAACTTACACCGTAAAGCAGTCATACATAAAGGCCAGCGCCGCCGGACTGATATTCATAGACACATCTTCCGGAATAGGCGGCGCCTGACTCAGACTGCCCAGCTTGAAGATGGCCCCGATCGCCTCCTCTCGACTCCATGGTCGACGACCGGCAAACATCTCGAGCACCACGCACCCGAGGGACCAGATGTCCACCTTGGCGCTGTACCCTTGACCCTGAGAATGAATGACCTCCGGGGCCATCCAGAAGACCGACCCCTGCATCGAGTTGGTCGAGTCATTCCCGTAGATATTGTCCGTCTTCTTGGAAATACCAAAGTCCGAGATCTTGCATGTGCCGTCGAGATCTAACAGGATGTTGTCGGCCTTGAGATCGCGATGCAGGATGCCCTGATCATGCAGATAGGCCAACCCGCTCAGCGTTTGCCGCGTGAGCGACTTGACCACGCTCTCTTCGAACTTGCCGTGCTTGCGTAGACAACTGCCAATCGAACCACCGGAAATATACTCCAGGTAGATGGAAATGGAGAACTCTCCGCGCTCGCATCCGAGATACTGCACGATATTGGGATGCTCGAGGTGCTGCATCGTGTCAATCTCCTGGTCCATGGCTGCGACCATCTCCTTGATCCGATCCTTATCTTGACCCGCGATTCGGGGGTTGATTTCCACCTGCTTGACCGCCAGGACCTCACCATTGTCAGCGTTCATGCCGAGGTACACTCGGCCATAAGTGCCTTTTCCGATGAGCTGACCGCGAATGATGCGGAAGGTCGGTTGCCGCTGTGGGAGATTGCCAGCGCCAACGTTGTTCTGGGGGATGGGATCAAGCTGGCTGAGACGACTACCGGGCTTGGGGCTGATCTGCATGATCTTCGCGCCGAACATCTTCGTACTCTTGCGACGCAGGATATCGCCTGACTTTTGGTTCCCGCTAGATGCATGAACGCTGCGATTACGGCTGGCTTGGTTAGCACCGCGCGCCACTTCTCGGATAGACTTTCCTCGAGTGAGACCGCCGGAGCGATTAACGTTACGCCGAGCGATGATGCCGGCATCGTGAGCCTTCATCGTTGGCTCGCTGGGACCGATGGTGTTCTCGTCGGTGCTCGGGGGCGGTGGCGGCGGGAGTGGAGTGTATGTTGGCCCCTCGTGTCTTTCTTTATGAGCTGGCTCGTGCTCGGCTGGGATTCTACTCGCCGGTGACGAGGGGGGAGAGGCGCCGTGGTTGTCAAGGTAAGGAGCATCGAGATCGATGTTGGGGAAGAACTCGTCGAGGTATTCAATGACGCCCTCGACGGGGGGTCGGCTTGCCCAATTGTTCCCTCGAACAAACGAGTCTCTTCGAGGCGGAGGCTTCTTTTCTTCGGGAGAACCGGCCATGTCCGAAAAGGATGTCTTCCGGTTGCCTCTGTCTGCACTTGACCCGGCAAAGGTTTCGCGACTGGTACTAGGCGACCTGAACCGCACCGACAGTTCCTTCTTCAACCTCGGTCCCGTGTTCAGCGTAAGTGACGGTTTCTCGGACCTCTTCTGCTCGGGAGATCCAAACATAGGTCCTTTCTCCTTCACGGGAGTCTTGCTGTTTACCAACGGGATCGCGAAAAGGCCATCATCCGAATCATCATCCGAGTCGTCTTGTGGTACCGGTGAACGCTGGAAAGAGACCTCTGTTTCCTCGAAATCAAACTCAGGACCGTATGACTTGCGTGATTCCGCATTTGGCCTGGTTCTCTCGACTGGAGTGGCCGCAGTTTTGGCAGGAGACTGATTGACGTGGGAGGTTGGGGTGTTCTGGCCGTTCGACCCGGGAGGGAACCGCGATGTGGCACTTCTTGGTTCATCTAAAACTGCTTTACGTCAGTAGGCATACACAAATAGCGAACAGGAAGAGAAGGAGGGAGAGCAGAGGGAGGAGGTTAGAAATCTTACCCGGCGTAGTGATGTTGGCATTAGGACTATTGAACCCGGGGCTTTGAGAGACCGACGGCGACGGGGTTCCGATGGCACCGGTAATTCTGCCCATACCAGCCAGGGCAGCCCCCAGTCCATGAACTGCGGGACGGTCGGTCTTTCGCAGTGAATTCACCTTGGTAAGTGTATTTGACTCGGGCGGAGCGGTGGGGGGCTTGCGGAGCGGTACCAGGGGCTCCGAAGCCTTCTTATCTTCATAAGGCGATATCCGCGGCGAGTCGAAATCAATGACATCTTTGCGTCGATAACCAGTTTCCCCGTAGGCGTTCTTCCCCGGCTGCGGCACGGAGGTGACTTTTGAGTATCGCAAGGCCTTCTGTCTTCGCTCCATCTCCCGTTTTTGCTCGGCGATAGGATCCAGTTTTTCCGCATCGAATGGGTATCCAGCTTCTGCACCACCATCCACCGGCGATGTTCCCATCGGTAGCTGCGTTATGTCCCGAGCAGGCAGTTTGACCGCAGGGGTCCTTAGCTGCTGCGGGCGTGCAGCGACCTGCGGAGAAGTAGGCTTTGCCGAATTGTGCGGTGAAATCCGATTGAGAGCTTCATCATCTAATGGTTTTCTTTGTAATTGGTGCTGTCCCGTTGTCGGTGATGAGGTGGTCTTGTCTGGGAATGAAACCCCAAGACCGGTGTAGTGTGGGGAGTTGGTAGAACCAGAGGGCATGTGAGGTCCACGGACGTATAGTTTCAAGCTGCCAACGGCGTCCGACCTCGTCCGCCGACACAATGTCAGGTTGGTATCGTTCAAAGGTTCATCATGGTCTGTTTGGCCGGGCTCAGTCATAAATATTTGGGAACCGGCCCAATCCGATATCCCGAGGTTTTGGCAGATCGTAGCACGCAATTGCTCCACAGAGTCTAGGTCCGTGATGTCTATCAGACGATAGTTCCACCCATCGAGCGTTCCAAAAGCCCACTTCTTTCCTTTAGACGCGGGCTTCCCCCGCTGGGCGGCTAACCGTTCGTGATCGGAGAAGGACGCGGATAGAGGGCGTTGGTCCAACGACATGTCGCTACTGCTGAAATTGGGTCGATCGTAGGGAAGCTGAGACGCATTGTGACGCTGCGCTTCCGGACTCGTGGGGGACTCCAGGAATTGCTCCTCGGGAGACGGGTGGGTTGAGTCGCCACTTTTATTCTTCTTCTTGAAGAAGTGGAAAAGTCGATTGCTATGGTCTTTAGGGTAAGAGGAGGAGTTTTCTGCCGGTCGGTTGTAGGACTCCAGCGGAGAAGGGCGGGCATTATCCTGCCTGAGGGTTTCATAGTAGCGACGTCCTGTAGTTGAATCGGAGCTGTTGACTCGAGCATGTTCTCTGAAGTCGCTGGTGGAAGAAAAGCCCGGATGTGCGAGTGTGGCGTGCTGCATGGCTGGACTGCCGCTTTTAGGACTGCCTTCGTAAGGGCGCCCAGGAGCAAAAATGCCGGCTTCGCTGGAAACCGAGGGGCTCTGTCTTCGATGGTCGCCGTTTGCACTGGCCAGTGCAGCTCGCGAAATGTCTGATCGGCCCCAGATCGTCCCGTCGGGCTGGCTGAGTTCCGAAGAAGTATGGTCATGGCTAATAGGCATCGGGGCCGTGAAAGAGCGCGTTTGCACATTGCTTTTCTGGTTGTAAGCGGGCTGCAGGGATTTGAGGTTAGGACTACCAGGCATGGGGCCTGAGGTCGGGCCTGCAGACACAGGGTCATTGGGATACTTGGGAGAGGATTCATTGCCCGGGTCGAGAACACCCCCTGCGAGGGTCTGAGATTCACGCTGCTTCGGAATGGGTACGCCCGCGTCATAGTTCGGATCATCCTGGATTTGACGAATCAATTTGCGCATACGTTTCCCTTCCTCTCGCTCTCGCGTCAGATCCCACCCGGTTCCGCTATTCTCGCATTCTCTGGCGAGCTGCGGGTACACCACATTGTGCATTTTACCCCAATTGGGACGGCCGTTGAACCCATGGCCCAGCTCAAGGAAGTCGGCGCCCTGAATTTCGAGGGCCTTGAAAGTTTCCTGCCAATCCCCGGAGAACCCATTCATCGCAAGCCACAGGAGAACCCTGTCAAGTGGCCACTGGACGGCGGCTTCGCTGGGTGACATACCACCGAGCAACGTGTTGTTATTGTTGTAACGATGACTGGGAGATTTTGTGAGTTCTGCCATTTGGCCTTGGTTCTGGCCGTTTTGAGCTTGCGGATTCTGCGCTGTCGTAGTGGAGAACTGTTCATGTGAGAGATCATTTGCGGTTAAGGAAGGGGGAATAGTGCGCGCCGACGGCGTAATCGGAATGGTCCCGTCTCGCTTATATGCATTATCCGGGTTGGGATACTCGTAAGGTTGATTTATTGGAAGCTGCTGTCGATCGCTACCCGTCATGGTCCCTTGATTCTCGTATGCAGGAAGGGAATGCAAGTCGAATGCAGGTATTCCGACTCCCGGGCCAAACGTCCCTCCCTGCGGGACGTACGTTGCAGAAGTCCGGCCTTCTCCCCCAACTGACAGAGGCGGTCGGCCGTAGGGCTGCTGGTTTGTCGGCGCCATAGGAGGGGGAGGCGGAGGGGGAGGAAGGATCCCCTGGGAGAGTGCCTGCCGCGTTGCCCAGTTCGGCGCCCATTGTAGGTTGTTCTGATGCTGCAACTGAGGATTGGCGATCTTCGCAGGGCCATAGCTTTGTCCTGGGGGTGGTCCAGGAGGCGGCGGGGGCATACCACCCTGGGGTTGTGTGGGAGGGTATCGTGGCGGCGGAGGCGGCAGCACCATGTGCGATTGAGGCGGTTGGGTTGAAGGTGGAGGAACAGGCATATATTGCTGGGGTCGTTGACCGTCCATGATGGCGGGTTTGGTCGTGATGACAACCAAGAATGAGACACGTCAGATAGCCCCCAAGACAACCATACGGTTTTTGAACCCCCGCACGTCTTTTTCCTGCCGATCCCTTCTGGATGTGTGACTGTACAAATGAATGAATACTCGAAGTTATGGCGCAAGAAGTGTCATAGCCGATAACTACGCTCTCTTCAGATATGATGGTTCGCAAATATCCCCGCTGTCGTGCCACAGGTAATCGATGCACTGAATTGGGCAGCGAGTGGGGTGCAAAACTCGAGTCTTAGTTATACATAGCGTCATATAGTTGTACGTTTCCGATTGCGATTTTCTTTTTCAAGAGTAAATAAATCCGTACCCCAGGAGAGACTATTCAACCAATGTCGATTACGGTATCGAGTAAAAGGGGGGCACAGATCAAGCGGGTTGCCGTTGGTTTCGGAATCGAATTGTTGGGAGGAAGATGGTCGGGGGTATTGTGAGGGAAAGGAAACAGAAGGGGGCAGAAAAACGCCGACGGAGCGAGGTATCGATAGTTCGTGGGGTGAAGAGGAATAAAAGGATACCTTTCACGGAGAGATGAATTGACCTTGGGAAGGCTGAGCCGGCATCAGTGAGTGAGCGATAACTAGTAACTAAGCTAGCCACTGGACAGGGGCGAGGAAATCCCGCCGAAAGCCCGAACGGGGAAATAAGACGTACCATGACCGAGTCGTCGCTAAATAACGATCCCCCTTCGAATAATAACAATAACACTGATTTAGTAGGCAAAATGGTCGCGATAAGGTAGATAGCAGGTTCGTGTCGACAGCTATCGGTAGCTGTCCGAATCTTGGCGGCCACAGATAAATTGGAAGAATTCCGCGGTGACGACGAAGCGGCAGAAAGAGACTGGGGACGGACTGGGTCTGCTGTCAAGAGTCAAGAGTCAAGACTCAGGGAAAGGAAAGGATTGAAGGTCGGTGCAAAGCAATCAAAGGGTTTCACGAGGAGCTTCCAGGCGCTGGACGCCTTAGCGCCTTTATCGCCTCCCGATCACGTGGATTTTTTTTCTTTTCTTTTCTTTTTCTTCTTGGGCCCCCTTCAACCAAGCAGGAGTGTGTGCAGTTCAATTGATAGTACTTACATCGTATACCTTGATGATTTTGACACTGTGAAAACATTCAAGAAATTCGGAAGAAAACTCTTTCCAAACTATGAGTGAAACAATCTTCATTTAGCATCTAACGCCATATTCTCCATACTAAAATTCAGGGCCACGCCAGTCTCCACCCCGTTAACTTCCCCTTACCCAAGAACCGACAACGGGCTCGCTGGTTCAGCCCTACAAAAGTACTCTCCTACGGTGTTGTGATCTAGGCTCTAGCTTCCAATCTCCGGTTCCCACCGTGAATGAACTCGCTTGCAAGCCTCTCCATTATTATTCAGGACAATTTATTTCGTGTCTGGATTAATCATAAAAAGTAGTCGTTTCGATTTAAAACATAATGTCATACTATCCGTCATTCATCATAACGTGTATCTTCCACCCCTTTCGATCGATTATTAGATAAAGGAACTATACACGAAGAGTCATAGACAAGAGAATCACAGAAAGAAGAAATAGAGAAAAGTGGGATGAAATGTGACGGGAAATATGAAGAAATGAAGAAGTCTGTAAGTGTCCTCCATTATTTATTTCTCTCCGCCGCTGCCGAAGCAGTGATCTTCAAGCCCGCCGGAGCATCGTCACGGGGCATGTGGACTTCCACCAACTAATGCGCTAGTTAGCAACGGTAGATAATGAGAGCTTATGAGAATGTGATCTTACCTGGAGATAAGGCGCGGAAGCGAATTCCTGGTTCGCGAAAAGCTGAGTGAGCTCATCCCGAGTCTGGACTTTGTATCCCTTGTACTGGTCCTTGGCCCCGAAGACGGTGGGGAGGCCCTTGATATCCCATGTCTGAATGTCGTTATAGGTCTCGTCCCACCCATGGATGTACCGCTCGATTGTGTAGCCTTCGTTGCAAATAACAAAGCTGTACCTATATTAGCGAAACCTGCCGTGAGGACAATTGCAAGGGCTGCCGACTTACATGATGGGGTTGAGCTTGTTTCTGATCATGGTGCTGATCTCTTGCACGGTGAGTTGTAGACTTCCGTCTCCAACGAACAACACAGTACGCCGGTTCTGCTCCTTTGCAGCCAACGCAGCTCCCTGGCACGCGCCAACCGAGTACCCAATGCTGCCCCAAAGGACTTGGCTGATGGCGGTGACGCCGGCAGGGAATCGGGTGTCCCAAATGCCGAAATTGGCGGTTCCGGTTTCAGTGATAACGATGTCTTTCTCTTTCAACCATTGTCCGAAGACCGGCCAGAGCCATGCGTGGGTAATCGCTTGGTTGGTCGAGTTCTTCTCCTCGTCGGGCAAGATATTCGAGACATGCGAGACCGGTGTAACATTGAGCGAGCGCATCTTCTGGACCACCTTCCGCAAGACGCCCTTCATGTTGATGTCGGGATATTCGGAGTAGCGAACGCGCACGAACGTACTGTGGAAGTCGATGGTATTGAGTTGTCCAATGCGGTACGAGAATCCCGAGGTGTTGAAATCGGACTTGATGGCCCCGATGCTCAAGATGAGATCCGAGGACTCGACTTGCTCACGAACACCAGGGTTCGATCCTGTTCCGGCATAGACACCCCCAAAGTTTTTGAGCGTCTCATCTACGGCCCCCTTGCCCATCGGGGCCACAAAGGTGGGCAGACCGGAAGCTTTCACCAGATCATGAACTTCGTCAAGCGCACGATGGCGAATGGCACAAGCATCGACAAGGATCACCGGTCTCTCGGCCGCATGCAAATACTTCAAGACCACATCCACCACGTAGTCCTCCTTCTCTGGGTCATTCGGAGGCAGCGAAAGGTCAATCGGGGTCTTCAGCCGTTGACCCTCGATTTGTTGCGTGATCATGTCGGTGGGAAGAGTGATGTAAACCGGACGACTGCGAACCCAGCATTCACGGATAGCGTTATCGATCAGGGTTGCCACTTCGTGAGTTTCGATCAAGTTGCCGGTAGCGCAGGAAATGCCGGAGCTCATTCGCGTGAAGACATTGAAGTCACCGTTGCCTAGCGTGTGGTGCAACAAGGACCCATCTTTCTGCGATTTGGTGTGTGGTTGACCGACAATGTGGATGATCGGGACGAATTCAGAGTAAGCACCGGCGAGAGCATTCAGTGCCGACAGCTCGCCCACGCCGAAGGTGGTGATCAAGGCACTAATTCCATTGACTCGAGCATATCCGTCCGCAGCATATCCTATGAGGAGACACAGAAGTTAGAAAATCCCATCGCTTTCTCGCGGATATGCAGTGACATTTCGAACGTACCGGCATTCAGCTCATTGCAGTTTCCCACCCAGTGAAGACCACATTTTGGTAGATAGTCCAACGCAGCGAGGTTGTAGTCGCCTAGAATCCAATCACAGTTAGTTATGTGGAACTATGGATGCTCTCTTCCAGAGAGACGGTCGGATCACTCACCAGGAACGCCATGAACCGCACGGATGCCAATCTGATGAAGTCGCTGGAAGAGGTACTCGGCGACAGTGACGGGCTCGCGAAGCTCTCTGGTCGCGATATCGGTAGCCATCTGGAATGCAACGGTTCTCGGTGTGAGTGGACAGGAATAAGGACAGCGAGGTGAGATGTCGATTTAGGGAGGGGTAATTGTTCCGCAATACGACAAACGTCTCGGGATTCTCAGGCTATATGTAGTACGTGCTAGACATGGATCGGGAGGAGCGGAAAAAAGAGGGAAAAGCAGCAGAGGACCGTGTCATACGTCATGAACAAACAGTGATGTCATGCTATCAACCGGGTGAATGGCGTGGAGCAACAACCCACCCTGTTTGAGAGGCAATGTCTGGCGAGTGAATTGAAGGCCAACTAGCCCGGTTGTACAGTGCTACAAAGGAAGATAACGCCATTGGGAGGACGGCTGGAAGGGGTCAATGGGCAGATGGCCGCAGTTCTAGAACGTCCCGCCAAACGCCCGTCCGAGTCGGCAAACCGGGATGCCTCACAGTCCAGGCATCACAGGCTCGCCCACGCCCGGTCGCGCTTGTCAGGTGACTGTCAGCCCACCCGGTGGGACGATGCGCATCCACTAAGCCCCATCGGGCAGTCGGCTGTCAACCCCTCTCGTCTCACCGCCTCTCACCGCCCAAGAAATTAATGCCGGAAATTTCCCTTTCCACCGCAGAGGAGGGGAGATTGTCGATACTATCAACCTCTCGACACAGCCACTTTCGCCGAGGAATTCCCGCTTTCTGAATGGCGGATTCAGGAAAAAGAGCCATGCCCGATTCCTCGTCCAATCAATCTTCCAAACGAAGAAAGGTTCGTTCTAACTACTCTCCGGCCTTCGGTCTCTACGGCCCGGATCCCATCCGCAACGGTGGGATCACGCTCACTCCGTCGGTGGTCTAACCCGTGGCACAGGGAGGCGGCAATTGGCAGAAAGGCAAAGGAGCGATTATCGAGAGCGGTGATTGTGGCGTGTTCGTAACGTGTGACAAGGGCAAAGAAGGGAAATGTATCCCCGAAGCCGTGGATCTGTTCACCCAGGTTAGTTCCGACTGTTTCGGGATTCTCATGCATTTCTCTGACGCGTCCGGTCGATCAGAGTGTCGAACAGTCCGACGATGGAGTGAAGGATGCCGACTCCGGTTCCGACGAAGATGAAGATATCGAAGCCCAAATCCGACGAGAAGTCGAGGGGTTAAAACCCGGCTCGTCCAAGCCCCGCGATTTTCGCACCTTCCGGATGGAATTCCCTTGCGGTTCGTCTCCGTCTCCGTCTCTCTTGCCCGGCAAACTTTGGACTCGGAATTAATTGGACCCAGTGTTCTTCGTGAAATTCGACAAGTCTATTGATCCGGAGAAGTTGGTACATCAGCTCTGCGTGGATGCGCATACCCACCCGGAGCAGAAGCGCAGTCGATATATCCAACGGTTGTCGCCGATGCGGTCGATACGAAAGACGCTCAGCGTTGACCTCGAAGAATTTGCCGCGGAAATCCTGAAACCCCACTTTCACTCCGGCGGCCCTCCCAAAAAGGTATGCCGCCTGCCCAGTCCGTTTGTCTTGGATGTCCGAGTACCCAGGTTAATCGCGTGGATGTGCAGTTTGCGATTCGACCCGTGGTGAGGGGCAACTCGAAATTCAACAGGGATATTCTCATCAAAACCATTGCTCAAGTGGTCGGACCGGACCATACCGTTGACCTCAAGAACTACGACCTTCTCATTCTGGTTGAAGTGGTGCAGGTATGATGTCCCGAGGAAAAGTTGACTGGAGATACACCGCGGCTAACCATGACATATAAACAGAACCTGATCGGAATGAGCGTCATGGGGTCGGACTATGATAAACTAAAGAAATATAATCTCGCCGAGCTCTACAAGCCGTCGGCGAAAACCGAAGCGAAAGCCGAAGCGCCCGAGGCGAAGGAGTAAAATACGACTTGGTATTGCAGAATGTTGAGCTGATGACATGTCACGATAATTCATTTCTCTTATTTATCTTTCGTCTCTTGTTGCCTTTTTTGTTCTGGAACGGCTGAAAAATAGATTGCATAGGTCCCATTCATCCTCCAATGGCCGGAGGACGGCCAGTATATCTAGACGGATCGGCTTCTAGAAATCAGGCCGAGAGGACGGGGCCCCGGAATTTAACTTGCGCTAGGCGCGATTAGGGCAAACCGGGACAGATAAAAAAAGCAAAGAAAAAGCATCGAGGGATGTTCGGTCAGCAGTGGACGTCCCTCTCAGACTGAAGTAGGTAGAACACTTCGTAAGATGATCCCCCATCCCCATGACCTGTGGAAAGATGACGTGAGAAGCTTCGTCGCTGATGCAACGTTGTTGACTCTTTCAATCGTCTTCGGTAAGGCCGCGCGCTGATTGGGTGGGGCCTCAGGCACTGCAGGGGCGCCTTTCTTCAAGCGGGAGCCTTAGGCGAGTCTGCGGCCGCTATCTATAAGACCCGTCCCGGGCTCCTTCGCTCACAATGTCATTGCCCACCTTCCCATCTTTGAGGCTCGCTTAAAGTTATTGGATAGGGCCATAATTCCGGTACAGTGGCGCTCGATCTCGCTTGCGTTCGAATGTAACTTCCCGTTGCCAACGCACGCCAACATGCTCTGCCCAATCCTTTTTTCCTGCGTCGTGTCTCGTCGTGAGAAAACTCCCCGGTGGTTGTCCGTGGTTTTAACCAAAGACATGTCGACCGGGAGGCTCTTGTTTCTGCTCTAGTACCCTCTCTCCTCTCTCTTCCCCTTTGTCTCTCTTCACCCGTGCATCCGGTGCTTGAAACCTCTTCCTAGTCAGCACCCCCTTCCCTTCCGTCATGTCTCCATTCCTCATCGATGGTCCCAATGTTGAATGTACAGACACCACCAGCCTAGACACCGTGATCGGGCGACTCTTCTCGCAGAATGTATATGTGAGGGAGATCTACCCCCTCGAGGGGCATCTCCATACGATGTGTCTCTTAATCCTATCCAACAAAGAGCAACTACTCCTGAAAGGCACGCCACGAGCTATGACGCCTCTCCTCCGGCAGGAGAAGCGTCTTCTTGACACCGAAGCCCGAGCCATGTCCATTCTGAAACGGAGCACCGCCCCGTGTATCCCGTCACTTCTCCACTACGACCGGCGAGGTGACCTGTTTGGCTCGTCCTTCATACTACGACCCTTTATCTCCGGGACGACGGCGCAAGAACTGGAGCGCCAGATCAGTGAGCACGCGCAGAAGCACGTAGACTATGCATTGGGATCACTAGCCCATGAGATCTCGCAGCACGCCTCTCCTTCATTTGGATCCCTGGAGCAAGTGGCATCGGGATCCGGGAAACGGTCGTGGCGAGAGGCCTTCTTGGTCCTATTCGAGGGCATCCTACGCGACTCGGAAGACTTCTTCGTGAACCTCCCCTACGCCGAGATCCGGCACCAGCTGTACCGGCTATCCCCTGCACTCGAGGAAGTGCGGCAGGCGCGCCTCGTCGTGGTGAACTTAGGTCGACCGTCTCAGGTCCTTCTAGACCCGGAATCGAAACGCTTAGTTGGAGTCGTGGACCTCAGCAGCGCGCTGTGGGGCGATGCCTACATGGCGGAGATCTTCGACAATCCGTCATCGTCCGTACTCGATGGCTTTGGAATCCGTCCGACGAAAAGCAAACCGGAGTCGATACGACATTTACTGTGCGGGACCCTAGCATGAACCCATTAATTGAACTGATGAAATTACGAATCAGGCTAATCCACGCAATGCAGTTACGGATGCTATCGCTCCATCACGAAGATCACGGTGCAATACTTTCGCGACAGGAACATAACTGCTGAGAATGATGCGAGAAGACGACTGACCAAGATTCTAACGGATATGGCAGTCTATTGATACTTACCTATATATCTCACCTCTCGTCGAGTCTGGACACCCATCTCTTGTTCTTGGCTAGTGGCCAGCGATGAAAGACTGCTTGCTAGCGATGTAGGTAGATTAGCGAATTCAATGACCAGCATAGAAAATGAATCAGTCTTGCAGAGGGATCGATTATTCCAAGGATCAACACTAGCGATATGGAATATGAAATATAAAGAGCATATGAAGGTTCTATGGTATAGATAGGTATTTTGATGTTATCAGCACTCATTGATTGAGCTTCTTAGATACTTGAGCCTAGTATGGCAAATGACTTCTTCCCTACATGGCAGCACCTTCGGTCATCCTATCCTGACTGATTGGTCGATTCCATCATTGTGGGGTTTATCTGCAGGGTCCATGGGCATCTGAACGGTTGTGACAGCTGTCTTGGGTTAGGAGGTCCAATGTACTGATTTCATGTTTAAGTATAGTGTGTATGCATTTGATCAACGAGGATATGTCTCTAGCGGATTCGTGACAGCGCTAGGTAAAGTTATGATATCGTAATCAAGCCTAGTGTGTATTCAATTGATATAAGGGTACGCCTCTGGAAATTGACCAAAACGGGAGAAAGATAGGTAGGTCTTTTATTTACAATGGATATCTATATGGAATAGAGTAATAAATAGATTGGTAGACGTCTCAACCCGTAAACAACCATGAAACGGTTTCAATCCCAAGCACCAGATCATGCGGAAGTAATCCATCGATCTTCTCAGTCTGCATCTGACGATCCAGTTCGAGCCGCCTCTCGATAAAAGGCACAACCTGTGGACAGCGAGTCCGTGCCATGTCTAACTCGTCCATCCCCATAAAACCAGGATGCGAACTAACAGAGCCGATCGGAGCACCGTGCTTCAACAGCAGCCTCGAAATCTCAGGCCGCTTTGCGCGCATAATACTCAGACCCAAAGCCGTGACGTTGTGCCTGGATGCAACATGCAGTAGCTCCGGGTACTGAAGCACGAACCACTTGATCAAGCGCAGCTACTTCGGCAGTCTGCGTTTGTCCCTCCAGTGTGTCGCTGTTTGTACGATCGCGAGCAGCTGCGTCTGGACAAATACGCCCTCTTTGTCTTCGAGACTACTCAGATCGCTTCCATGCTCGACGGCGAATTGAGTCGCCCTGAGACAATGGTCACCGCGTCCATGAACTGCGCACAGATTACAATCGGCTCCACTGGGAGACTATTGATATCTTGATAGCTCATTCCGACGGGGGATGGATATTCCGGATGAGACAATAATCCAAGACCCCGTCAATGAAATTCACCAATTGCTCATCGAACGATGTCTGGCACCTTTATGTTAGGTGGGGCTTTGTCGTCTTTATATACTTTACCACTCGCCCTCAGATATTGAGCCTGGCATCAATGAGTCCGTGTCGTGAATCGACTTATGCATCCAATATAATGAATGACTCCATGAGACCGCCGTCCTGGAGGTTCTTTGCTGGGTCAATCTGTTGTATTCGAAGTTTCGAACATCGCTGGGACGAGCGTAGTGCTATCCAAACCAGACAGCCTCTCTACCATGGCTTGGGCGGTGTCCAGCTGCCTTGGTGCCTTTTTATGAGAGCTATAGGGGTGCTCATGAATAGATGTAGATAGTATGATTTGATGAGGAAGCTTCGCTGTTCTAGCATTCTCTGTTCCGTAGCCGGAGATTCCCGAGATCGTCTGAGATTCAGATGAAAGGGAAGCGGATTTCAGAGCAAGGGAGGTCCTTCCTGCGTTGAATCTGTGTTGGTGGGTCATGCGGATGTAGCTGCCCTGCAGTGTCTAATAGCACGTAGTTCTTCGCATCTAACCCTGGAAACCCCAACTATCCTCAATTCGAGATCTACGCAAATGGACCAAGGCAAGAAAAGGCAATCAAGGTAGAAGAAAACCAAAAATCGCTTAAATTCGGAGACAATGCTATATACCTGTACAGAATCAAAAATGCATCAAAAATCACCGTCTATCATCATATCTATAGCTTCTGGCCACCAGCCTTGTTGAACCGCTCGAACGAAGAGACGGGGGGCGCCGAGTTGGGGTTGGGGTGGTGCTTCTTGAGCGCCATGTTGACGTTGTACTCGAGGTCCAACGAAGCCTTGGGGTCGTCCTTCTTGGGCTTGAAGTCCACGACGAGATCGTCCTTGACGGCGAACACCGAGTCGATGTCAAGGTGGGGGTCGTCACTGGGGTAGATCTGGTTGATGACAGTGGCGTAGTTGGGGTGGGTGATCATCAGATGGATGTGGGCGGGGCGCATGGGCGAACGGTCCATCAGGTTCAGGAGCACACCGGCGGGGCCGTCGGTGGGCAGCGAGTAGGGGGTGGGGTGGTAGCAGTACCACCAGAACTCGCCCTTCTCGTTGGAGCGGAACTTGCCGCGCAGGTTGTTTTCGGTCTGCGTGGGGTCCTGGAAGTCGTACTGGCCGTTGGCCGAGGCCTGCCAGATGTCGAGGACGGCGCCTTCGATGGGCGCACCGGTCTCCATGTCCTTCAGCACACCGTGCATGAAGGTGACTTGGCCGTTGGGGTTGGGGTCTTGGATGATGGAGTCGCCGAGGGCGCGGAAGGGGGCGTTGGGAGACCAGAAGGGGCCGAGGATGACGTTGGAGGTGGGGGAGACGCCATCTTCAGTGACGATCTTGTTGGCGATTTCGTCGACCAGACTAGACTCGATGGTCAGTGGGAGATGACAGAGAGATTAAGATTCAAGATTAAACTTACGACTCCAGACCGATGACGTCGCAGATTCGGTGGCACTCGTTGCGAATGGGAGTGCTGATCTTTCCGATGGAGTTGATGAATTCAACGCCGAGCATCCACTCGGCGGGCGTCAGCTCGACCTCGCGAGCGAACTCGTGGATGTGCTTGATCAGGGAGCCCAGGAGCACGCGGGTGCGCTCGGGGGTCTTGGGGCCCATGGAATTGATCACATAGGGAGTGAAGTTGGGGTCGAACTCGCGAGTGGTAGACATTGTGTGTGGTGGGTTGTATGAGACTGCCTTGATAGAGTCTGTTTAAAAATAGCAAGTCCGGAGGGAGGAATTGAAATGGGATGGAGAAACGAAAAGTTATCCAAGAAGAGGGACCTCGAAGGACTTTATATGCAAACAAGACGGGGGGAATTGTGGCAAGCCCATATCCCCAGGGAAATGCAAGGGCCAGTGACCGTGACGGCAAATAAAATCGGCTACCCGTGGATGTGGGGGAAATGGCAGCAGTGCCTAAGGTTAGGGGAACCGCTGGTACATGCCGACAGCCAGAGAGGGTTGACTGGGGAAGGATTTCATGGTCGCGTCGGTCACGTCGACCCTGGAAGAGCCGACGTCCGCCTTCCTCGCGTTTGATGAAGGCGCGGGGGAGCACCCGGAGTAGATTTTACCCGCGCGGGTAAGATCTCTGTACGGCGTAGGCTTCCCCGGAATTGGCGGAGATAGGGCCCTTCTGCCTGAGGTTCTCAACAGCCGCAACTACCGTCCCCGGCAGAATCCTCCCACCCGGCCAGTCACAGTGCCAATAATGTCAGACCGCTACTCAGACCGCCTACTGCATCTACCGACGGGGTGAAAACCGCCCCCGTCCCGTGACCAGGCCGCACCTTCCGCCTCAGCGGCATTCGCTGGACCCTCATTGGCCCTTTCCTTTTCCGGCCTGGCTGCCGATCGGCTGAGTCATCCGGCTATGTCTCCGCACGTGCCGGCGGGAAATGCCAAGCCGCCGGGGAAGAAGATAATCGCGCTCAATCATGCCATACTCGGGCTGGGCTTCGACTGTTTCAGACTTTCAGCATATTCGCAATACTCTTTGATGCCTCTAGGTATTCAGGAGGAGACGGTATGGAGCTAGTCTGCGGGCAAATCTTCATGCCCGATCATTGCGCGGGAAATGTATCTTCAGAGTGTGATCTTAGATCTATATGCAAGCAACATACGATCATTGAAGTAAATTTTTGGGTTTGCAGAAGGCAAACCACGAGGACGACAGGGGGAGGTAGCAAAGTTGACCCATAGTATTGCCATGCTCAGTACTTTAGTCATATTCCAAATACAGTGTATCCAGGAACAGTAACGACCATTGGGACTGCGAAAGAATCCATAAGCATCAGATAAGGACGTTTACCTGACCTACGGAGTAGATGCTTCTGACTTCCCATACATGCTACGAAACAGACCGTCCTTCTCCAGAAGCCTACTCGGCGTATCAAACTCAACCAACCGTCCGGCCTCCAAGACCGCAATGCGATCAAAATCAATGATCGTACCTAGCTACAATCCCCGCAGTCAAGCACATTAGCAACCGAATTCACGTAGTATACCAAATTCCAGAAACGAGAAAGCTTACCCTATGAGCAACACTCACAACTGTACACTCCGAAAGCACATCTTTCAGGACTCGCTGAATCCGACGATCCGTCTCCACATCGACACTACTCGTCGCCTCGTCTAAGATAACCACCTGGCATCCACTCCTGCTAGCTCGCTGTTTGAGTAGCGCTCGAGCCAGACATAGTAGCTGTTGCTCGCCCTGTGATAGAGGTTGGTCATTGAGGATGGTATTCAGACCGCCGCGGGTTTCAATAGCCTCCCAGACGCCGACCTGCTGAAGTACGGAGGTAATTTCTTCGTCGTTGGCGGTGCCAGTCAGGTCCACGTTATATCGGATGGAGCCTGAAAGGATGAAAGGGTTTTGGGGGACAGCAATGAAGCGCTCCCGGATTGTTTCTGGGGAGATGATACTTGTGTCGAGCCCGTCGATGAGGATTTTGCCGTAGGTCGGGTTGACGAGACGGAGAAGGGCGAGGATGAGAGAGCTTTTCCCACTGGATTGATGAGAGGTTCGTGAGTAATGATGGTGGAATTAGACGTGCGATATTGATTGATAGAAAGAGGAGAAATGGATGGAAATGTAAACCGGCGTAGACTCACCTTCCAGTCCGACCGCAAATACCAACCTTCTCGCCTGGAGCAATGGTCATCGAAACATCACGTAGCGCGGTACTGCCGTCCGCATAGTTGATGCAAACACCCTGGATATCAATACCGCCTTTCTCGGGCCAAGCCTCAGACAGACGCCGGCCTTCCCCGACGAGATATTCAAACGGGGTATTCTCAACAAACGATTTGACCCGAGCGATGGCCCCAAGGGAAGTTTCAAGTTGCGTCCATGAAGAGATAAAGGAAGACAGCAGCTGATTGAAACCTAAGATATTGTTCAAGGCAACGCCCAGCAGGCCGGCGTTCGTTTTATCACGCAATAAGACCGCCAGTGTCACCACAAGAACTGCCAGCGCCATGACCACGAGATCCAAAACCAGATTCAGCCATCTCTGAGCGCAGATGAGCATGTAGTATGGTTTTTGCGACGCATCTAAATGTTTCACGAGCATATCAGTTGAGGCCGACTGCCAACCAAATGCCCGGATAGTGGGCAGTCCCTCAAGAGTCTCGACGAATTGAGAATACAAGGGGCTTTTAGCCTCTAGGTCAAGGTACCGCAACTGGCGACTGGTCTTCAAGTAGATCTTTTGCAGCACGTAGAGAACAGCAAGGGCTAAGGGAATCGTGATGGCCATGTATGCGGAGCCGGTGGCGATTAAGCCAATGGTTGCAACGCATCCGAAGAAAGACTGACCCAAAGACATCAAGGCAATCGGTAGAGCGAGGTCTACCAGGGTCATATCTTGACTGAAGCGGTTGAGGGTAATGCCAGTATCGGTGGAGGCGAAAAAAGACAAAGGTGCACGGATTACGGCATCCAGTAGGAACTGATGCAGGCGAATGGCGGATCTCGGCATCAGTTCTAGGAAGACGACCCAGATGCATATCATAATGAGCAGCGAGGCAGCCAGTGCAAAAGCAACGTAGACGGATAAGTATAGTGGGAGCTGACTGCTGTTTGCCTGAGTCCACCAGCTCAGCCAGACTCGCGGGAAACTCTCGGCAAAGGCAAGAAAGGCGTGAGCGACAAGGAACAGGACACAAAGCAAAGGGCCAACTGCTCGGGCATAATAAAGGTAGACAGAAAAGTCACCAATCTGTCTGGTTCGGTCTAGATCCTCAATATCATGGATAGGTTCGTGCGCTGTCGCAGAAGATGTTTCCAGTATTTGGTTGTGGGTCGGATCGGCGTGCTGCTCGAGGCTCACATCTCCGATGCCGAATAGCTGCGTTGCACTTTGAATTGCGTTCTTGGATGTTGTAAATTGCTGCATGCGACCATCTGAGCCTAGTGAAATCACATTATCCGCAATCGCAAACAGTCGCGCTACGATGAAGGAGAGACGTTAGAAATTACTCAGTTAAAGCACATAATACTTACGGTTATGAGTAGCTAAGATGACCGTGATGCCTAGCTGGCGAAAAACTCCATCATGCGAGAAAAGTCGAGCGGTAACTGTCTCCTGTGTTCGCATGTCCAAGGCGCTAAACACGTCGTCAAGTAGAGCGATATCTCGGCGACTATACACAGCACGGGCTAACGCCTGAAAATAGATGTCAGTAGAAGAACTGGTAGCTTTAGAGTAATAGCGCTATAACGGCTCACCACTCTCTGTCTCTGCCCTCCGGATAGAGTAAGACCTTTGCTTCCTATTTCACTCTGGTCGCCTTCCGGCCAGCGACGTATGTCTTCTTCCAAACAACATGAGTAGATGGTCGTGTGATACCAATTATCATCCACTTGATGATCCTCTAGACCGGTAATGCTTTTCTTGATAGTGGTATTGAGAAGCCATGGATCTTGGCTACAATAAGATATCATCTTGCATCCCACGAAGACAGTTCCCGATTGAGGGTCAAGTTCACCAAGAATAGCTTTGAGAAGGGTTGTTTTGCCAGAGCCGACAGGTCCAGCGACAGCCAGCACGCTGCCACGTTCTATTTGAAAGGATACATCAGTAAGAGCGGCGGGAGTTGCTTTTGGTGAAGGCGAAACCGTCAGATTGTTCAACCCGACGGCAATGCTAGCTTCCCTCAGGTCCGGGGCGACCGTGAGCGTAATTGCTTTCTTGCCCGCATTATAGGAAGAATCTGACGTTGTTGAGGGAAGGAAATTGCCTTGATATAGTCGATTGTCTCTTATCGATTCTGCCACCATGTACTCGTGGATACGTTGGAAACATCCCATTGCCGCCGCCAGCTGGGGTACGACGGCAAGCAGCTTCTCAGCGGGCGTAGTGACGAGAGTGATCATGCTCAAGGCGGTAAATGCTTTTACAGTGGTTAGGGACTCGCCGTTCTTGATATTTGCCTGAATTGCATAGATAATGAATGTAACAACAGGGGACCATATTCGAGGTAAGGTTGCTGCCACTGTTAGTTGTGAGATTTGAGGGAAAGACTGAGACTCGGTATACCTATGCCATTCAGCCACATTATACCTTTGAAGAAGTCGCGAGAAACGGTCAACTCATGTTCACGAAGTTGCTGGAGTTTCTTAGTTGTCGGGTTCGAAAGACCTGAGATCTTTGTGGCTTTGATCGAGCCCAATACCGAGGACGTAGTCTTGACCCTGTCCTGAATTTGAAGGTTCCAGTTCTGTTGGTTCTTTCCGATCGTGTTTGCCACTATCTTCTGGCCTCCCAGACACACTGAAGGGCATCAGGAGTCATATTTTTGACACTGAAGAATCCACACGTTACATACCTAACATCAAAACCAAAGGAACAACGCATGTGGCCCCGAGTTGTATGCCCAGTAATGATAGACCAAGAGCCACCTCGACTGTGCGTGCCCATACATCGTTAAAATTCTCTAAATGCTCGATTATCCCGTCAATGTCTGGCGAGGGGCAGATTAGCCATCGTGAATGCACTGTACTTGTGGAGTGCGTAGGTTTAGTGCCCTACTGACCTGTACTCATCAAGGTGAGCGCAGCACTCCCTGTGTAGAGACCATCTTGAAGAGTCAGAGTTTTGTTATAAATTAAATAAATCATGGCACCACGAAAGACTGTCACGACCCTGGAGAACCGTTGTTTGTAGTGAACGTTCGATACCTGGTGCTTGGGGGTTAGTTATAGGGCAGCCTTATGATTTGAGATCTTACCGCAATGCCAATGTAAATCAGTAATGTGGCTCCGATCAGGCCATAACCATGATTGCGGTCTTGCGATCCTCCCGGCTGATCAACATATCGAATAGCCGTCATGATTAGAAAGGGCTGGGAACAGGTAAATCCTATCATGCACAGTCGAGGAAAGACCACAGCCAAGAGCTCTTTCCAAAATGTGCGCATAAAAGCCAGCGGCAATGCGAACTTGCTGTCGATGCTGCCTGGGATGCTGTTAGCCCTGGGAATACGTCCTACATGCATGACGATGCGTGTTGATAATGAGGGAAAAGCATGTCATACGAATTTTTTCCCACGTCCTTTCTAATCGCCCACCGGCAGCATCTGAAGCGAGACCAGGATCAAGCTCAAACAGGTCTTGGGCCCCCATGAGCTTCCGATATCCCGTTTGAAAGAGCCCATTCAACCACCAGACGAAGCTTAGATTGAGGATGCCACTTGTTGCCTCAGGCGGATAGTCCTTGTAAGGGGACTTCAGATAGAACTTTTTCTCTCGCGTTTCCAACACTAACATAGTAAGCTTGGTCGCAAGGACACAGCTCTGGACTGCTGCAGGCGCGACGGACTGAGTCAACCATAATGTGCGAACTTGCGTTGCATCAAGAAACACCGAAAAGAGAAGATACAGAGCCAGTATTGTAGACGGCCTGTGAGACTTTGTATCTTCGACGCACGAGAGTACCGCCATAATTATCGCATCACAGAGTCCCAATGCAGCGGCGACAACGGTGGTTGGGATTCCAGTCGAGGATGAAACGGCCCATACTACCACCAGGGAGACGTGCAGGGCAAGGTTGGCCAACGCAGCGACCTGTAATTGTTAGTTAAACCCCTTTAATCTAACGAACAGTCTCATATGCGACGGGCGCTCGGACCGATTTTGGAATATAGTAGTACTGGCCCGAAGTGGTCCTGGAGGCGCGGTGGAAAAGATAGAAAAGGCGCGGCAGTGCAGCCATAAGAAAGATCACAGAGGGGATAATGGATAGAATTATTTGCTCAAAAGTGAGCGTGAAATCAAACTCTCTCAACCGACTGCTTGGCCCAAACATCTGATCAGACAGGGCCTCCTCGTCCGCAAGGGTGGAATCGTGAGCCATAATGAGTGACGAAATTTATGATTCGTTGACAGCGGCATCAAGCAATGCGAGAAACATGCGAGAGGGACAGTAGAGATGGATTCGGTTTCTGGGGCGGCGAACGAAGTAAATAAATAGAGCAGTCCCGAGTGCGAATGACGCGCGTAGACATGCTGCCTAGGGAAGACAGACAAAGAAGATCTCGCCTGATTTTTCGTCATCCCTGTCAGCGAGCAAATTTGCAACCAGCGTCCGTAGCAAAATCATAAGAACATCTAGTGACTCTTGATCCTGCACCAGGTATATTTTATTTGTACGAAAATTGGGAAATTGGCGGAATTCGATGCCTAACTGTGGAAAAGCTCTGAAGCCCAATGCCTATCAATCAATACTGGTTTGTGAGCGGAGAAAAGATCAGCCTCAGCTCCCTTCCTGGAAAGGCCTGTCGCAATCCTAGCCGCCCTCTGGAGTAGGAAATCCTTTGATGTTCAAATCCGAATGGGATAGTCTGCCTCTTCCTAGTTCCGAAATTCTGTTCTGATGGCGCTAGAAGGAAGATCGATGGTAGACCAATAAGAATGAAGGCGTGTATAACTTGTAGAACAGTTCTATGCAAACGCCATGTTTCTAGATGATTCCATACGGCGTACTGCTGGACTTGTCGTTTGTTATGCCGATGGAGCTAGGTCAGCAACCTATTCTGAGAGCATGCACAGATTTGCTCTACAATGGCCGTTGTTGCAAGGGTTTTTCGATATCCAGGCTCCCTCCGTCGTGCAAAGATTGTGCCATAATATTTCCTTTCTTTGGAGAGGATTTAATTCTCCGGATGTTAGAGAATGGGTATAAAGTAGGCCTTTAGGTGCCCTGACCTGATCGCAATTCCAACCCTCTTCAACCTCCTTGACTCCAAGAAAACCTCATCAACTTGGGTACCCATTCCACGTCTCCAACCCCAGTATGGCGTTCAGACTCAATATGTGTGTACTATCTCCCCCGATTCGAGTAGCCTTTTACTTACAGTTTCTCTGCTAGTGAGGTATGGCAGCCGCTGTACATAGGTCCCTTCCATGTCCCTGCGGGGACCAACATTACCAACCTTATCGCTGTTTCCCCTTTCCTACTTCTCCAGCTCAGCGGAAACATACCCGCATTCGGTCGCAGGCCATTTTGATTGAGGTTCTCTTGTGGGGTGCTAGGCCTGATGACAGTGTGGAAGTGGCAGGAATCCTTGACAGGCTGGAGAGGGCTATTGGTTGGAGATATATCCAAGGCCACATGGGCCTCGCTTGATTTGGATCTATGAGCCCAGGTGGGTTCCCATCCTTCTAACCGAACGTTGACATTTTCGTTCTTTCGTTGGAATGGACTCATGTTTCTAGATTGTTTTGTATCATTTCTGTCATTTTGCCGGAAAGGATTTTCACGCATGTTTTGCTTTCTAGATGGTTTTGTATTATTTTTGTCGTTTTGTTAGATTGGGGTCTCGCGCATGTTTTGGCTTTCACATTGTATCTTATGATTTCATGAATTTGATTGTACATGGTGTGCTAAGTCAAATCACACGCGATTGGGGCGAGAAACTTGCCATGCATTGGCCGTAGATTTAAAAGAGCAATATCTACTAGAATGACTACCGACTATAGGCATTATAAGATAGCTAGGTGTTTCAGTCTTCAGTACTTTCCTTGGCTTGAGGAGAGGGGCAAATGCAACACTGCCCCCGACCTGGTTTAGAACGCTAACACACATCAAATAATAGGATCGTACCGTGTGTTCACAATATTGTGTTCATATGTATGTGTTTGCACCCTTGCCTGTGCCAAGCCTTGGCCCATCGAGAGTCTCCCTGCGGAGGACAAGGCTGGCTTCAAGCCTTCAAGACGATCGGGGCTAAAACGTGAGACAAGACCAATGATCTTAGCCTTGACAGTCCCTGAGTTTGCTTCTTAGCCAATAACCACTCAACCCCTCCCCAGAATGGTTGCGTGCCCGGCCATCGTCGTTCTTGGGGTCTTTTTCTCCTTTGGCCCACCTGGCCCTCTGGTTTTTAACCCACAGCTTACCTAGAACCCACCCTTTTGATGAATCCCCTGGATCATCGATCCAATCTCCGCGCCACTATACAGGATGTCTTCGAACACGAGAGATGGCTGGGCGGCCCGTCGAGCGGGCGGGTGTTTTGAATCGGAGAAAGAGAAGACCACGTGGGACGAATGGTGGGCATGCTGTCCACCAGGAACGCAGTCCTTTACAGATGGCGATAACAATTCAGGCTGCGGAATTAAAGGTCCGCCCGAAGAGACACCGACGCTATGCGCCAATTCAACCTTGGTTCTTTGGTCGGATGATACCGGTTACTTTTGCTGCGACCCGGATCAGACTGGCTTCATCACGGACAAGGCCTGGAAGGGGTGTGCCCCAAACGATGAACTAGATGATGTTCATCGTAATAAAACCTTGACTATAGCCAACAAGGAAGGCAGATCTCCTGGTAAGCAGCCGTTACAGATCCTTGCGTAGTGACCATGAAGAGCTTTGGCGGCAGCTAACACCATCTAAAGAGCCGACTACTACTTCAAGTTCCTCCACAGTGTCCTCAGAACTCTCGACGCCCACTATAACGTCGGACCCCTCGTCGTCTTCCGGGACACCGTCTTCTACGCAACCTGCAGAATCCTCGGGCTCGTCAACAGATAAAGGCGCGATTGCTGGTGGCGTGGTCGGCGGGTTCTTCGGTGCCCTGGTGATCGTTGGGATGGTATGGCTTTTCCTTCGCTGGCGCCGTCGCCACGCAACGGCAGAGGGTAAAATTTCATCGATCTCTCAACCACTTGGACCAAAGAGTTCGCTACCGTCTGGGGACGGTCAATACACGTCGTCAGAGCTGTACGGTGATCCATCTCAGCATGAGTTACCGGGAAACCATCGGCCTCGCCACGAGCTCGCTTGAGCCAAATCTCCAGCCAGCGGAAACGGTCAACATTCGAGATTTACCGCAGTATGATACCTAAGGAAGGCGTTCCTATAATGTTTTTGATTGTATTATCTTCGAAGGTTATATAGACTCGTGTTCGAATACTGTACCACTTGTGAGAATCCATAACGTGGTGTTGCTCATAGTCTTCGATGCTTATAGCGCTTGTATGTTCACGATGTTTTCTCTTCACGCAGCCTAGGGAAGAAAAAAGTACTTACCTATAAACTCAAGTTCAAACATCTCAGAAATAAGGTGAGTTAAGTAGAATATAGGCTGCTGTCATTATCGATATAGTCGATCAATATCTGCACAAGCAAGTTCTTTCAGTTCGAACATCGATGATTTGAGGGATTATATATATCACTATACGTACCTGTTTTTCTACATTATCGTAAATTTCCTATTATAGATATTGCCGTTTTACTGAGGGCGCTCAGAGACTTGTTTAGTGAGTAATTTATATCACAGCTTATCGCTTAATAAACACTTAGTAAATAACGTAATTCCCAACCGAGCGGGCCACCCCTACCCAGCGGGCCACCTTGTATTCCATATAGATCACTACTTTTTTATATCCAGATATCTCAATAATTACAAAAGATAGTTATTGGCTATAAAGTAATTTAGAATACCTATACTTTATATAGGTTAGTATATATTTTTTTAAAACTTTCCTATACAATATTTAGGTTATATTGTAAGATTATCAAAAATTACAAATAATACAAGCGTAATATATCTTACCTGGTTATACAGTGATTAGAATCAGCTTATATCATAATCTATAGTCAATATAGATACTATTATCTTATATGTTAAATTATAGCTTATTTAGTCTATTGGTTGTTGAGATATTCAAGTATAAAAAAGCGTTAGTTTATATGGGATACAGGGTGGCCCGCTCGGTAGGGGTGGCTCGCTCGGTTGGGAATTACGTTACTTAGTTAACGTATTTCACAAGCGAACGTGACACACAAACGAACGTGACACCGCCAGCCAATTCCTGCCTATAGGGTAGATACTATAGCTTTTATCAACCAAACAATCAGATTTCTATCTAAAAATTAATTGGGAACTCGATTAGGACATTGCAATCGTTTATATCCTAGATTATGACAATCGCTGCAGCGCGGTGGCGTTCGTACGCGCGGTCCAACTGCAGAAAGCGCTAGATCTATAGAAAGTGTATTTTGACCTTCATCAATCTCATTCTCGCGCTGAAATCGCTTTAGACCTTTTTGAAGTGATGAACCCTTTTTTATAGTTAGCTATCTAGTAGACTTGTTCTGTCTTTCGCTTTCCCATTCATTATTAGCACGATGTTTGCGTATTTCTTCCTTTGCAAAAAAAAGCTCATTAAGCGTTAATTCATGACCTTTAATGATCTTGTCCAATCGCGCTTCTATCAAAGGTAAAGGACTATGGACGCGTTCCTTAAGCAGTCTCTTTGCTGCAGAAGCTTGCTTTTCCAATTGTCTAGTTGTGTAGGGTATTTTAGACGTTAAATCAGTTGATCGACTGCCTGAAGGAGTAGGGGTCTTTAATTAAATATTTAACTTGCTAAGCATCTTATCTGAATTGAAAGAAATCAGATCAGTAACTGCAAAATTGTTCTAAATAAGCTTTGCTGTAAAAGCAAGGTCACGGGCCGTTGCAAATATCTCTAAAAAGTCAAACTTTGTAATATGTCTGACTTCTAGATTTGTCTTTTGCTTCACGAAATCGCCGTACGCGTCTTTTAGACCTCGAAAGCAGCCCACATCTAGAAGCTGGAGATTGTTAAAAGAATGTGGAGGCATGCAGATAGGAATAATATTATTTTCACTGCATAATTGATCGAATTGAAGCGAGAGATAACTGCCATGACCATCCATAACTAAAAGGCGGTATTTCCCAATCGTACGATAAGTAGTCATAAAAATAAAGAAATATTCTAGCCAGCGAAGGCCTATCTCATTAAAAATCCATTCATTAGGACTAATTTCAAGCCTAATATTCAATGAAAGCTTTGATTTTTCATACCAATCCTCTATATGAACCTTTCTTTTGAAAATAACACACGGAGGAAGCATCCAACCAATAGAATTAATACATTCAATCGAAGTAATCCATTCTCGATTGCCTGACTGTACAACACGCGCTTTGCTATAATAATCAACTTTAGTAAGTACTCGAGCATTAGATATTAGACTCATAGCGAAGCCAATCTCGTCGAAGTTGTAGATATCCTCCTGTGCGATCTCATGTTGCATTATAGTGATTTGTACACGATCAAATCACTCTTTCATCACTTTAAAATCTTCGCATTTAGCGCGTCGATAATCATATCGTCGAAAAAAGCAGGATTTTATTTCAGAACGGCATTTAATAAAATTGATAATCCAGTTCACTCTGACTGTGTAAGGAACATAAACCATTGAACGTAGGTATGTATTAGCAAAGAATAAGCTGCATGGGTTGCAGCAGCTGGGTGTGGGCAGAAGCCCCTATTTATGATACTGCCTACTACCAACATGACTGCCAGGAATCGGGAGATTCCTGGCGGGAAGTTCCATACGGAGGGATCCTACCGGCAAGTTCCTGGGAACAAGCCGGAAGGTTCCTGACACTATTTCCCCTAAACGGAGGCGTGAGGTCCCTCGAGCGCAAACACAAGCAAATAACAATAAAAAATGCCCAAAACAGAACAAGAAAACTAGCCAGTTGAGGAGGCCGTCGAGGCAGGAGAATCAAGGAAATATGGCGGCGGCGGCGGCTTATCAGGATGACGAGCGTGATAATCCAAAATAAGGTCGACAGAGTGTTTAAAATCATGCCACGGTTGCCACGGCGGGTTCGAGTTCCAGTCTTCTCAGTTATCTTCAAACAAAGCTTTATACTGCGTACCCTGCCGTGTCTCCCGGCAATCAACAACTTCACGAACGATCCACTCTTGGTGCTCCTCATTGGTGTCCGTGTTCATGATCACAACGGGTTCCTGAGGATCCTCATACTGACCTGGGTAAGCCGCGTCGGTCGAAGGGGCAAGGCGTAATAAAGAGGGATGGAACACGGGTGTGATCCCGGCTGACAACATATAGTCGGGTAGAGCCAGTTCATATGCCTTGTTGTCAATATTCCGAATAATCGGTCACGGACCGAGCGCTTTTGGTGCGAGAGACTGGCTTTCACGTTGTAAACGAAAGTTGCGAGCATTCACATAGACGCGGTCACCTAGTCGGTAGGCTGGATGGGGCTGGCGGTGGACATCGGCATGCCGGGCGTAGGATTCCTGAGCCCAAATAATCTCATTGCGAAGAAATTCTCGAATATCCTCAGTGCGACGAACCAGTTTATCAGCTGTCTCCATCTCGGGATGCGTGGCATGTGGCAGGGACCCAGGCGGCTCGGCCCCGGTACGGGGGTGGAAGCCATTATTTGCAAAGAAAGGGGTCATGCCAGTTGTCTCAGAGACGTGATCATTAGCCGCGAGCTGCGCATCCGGAAGAAAATCGACCCAGTCGTTCTGTGCGAAGTTGATATAGGCGCGGAGGTAGTTCTTAAGGCCCTTTACAGCCGCTTCAGATTGGCCATCGGTCTCGGGATGATATGCAGTTGACATCTTGCCTTTAACCTCATACTGCGCGCAATAGCGCTTCCAAAAATGGCTCGTAAAGGCGCTGCCGCGGTCAGACACAATCGAACGCGGGAGGCCGTGTTCAGAGAAGACGCGTCGATGCATAACCTCTACAAGCTTATCTATCTTCTTTGTGGCCAACGGTTCAAATATCTTAGCTTTAATCAACCGGTCGACCACGACAAGAACATTGTGAAATTCCTGTCCGCGGCGACTGCAAGGCGGTAGATCCTCAGCCAAGTCCATAGAGAGGTCAAGCCATTTGCGCTGTGGTACTGGAAGGGGACGAAGCAGCCCCTGTGCTTGCACTGTGCGGGCCTTCGCGCGTTTGCATGTGGCGCAGAAGTCGGTATACTGATGAACATCTTTCTTCAAGCGAGACCAGTAGTAATAGCGAATAGCCGCTCGATACATGCCTTTGGGTCCTGAATGGCCTGATAACCGGTCACGGTGCAGAGTCTGGAGAATCCGATGGCGAAGTGATTGATGATCAGGAATATATAATCGCTCGCCGATCCACACACGATGATTTCGGACAGTAAGATCGGCCATAGAGAGTCGAATCCCTTGTTCAAGCACAGCCGGAGGGAGCTTTCGCTTGCCTTCATCCTTAGCTCTCATAATTGCCTGTACTATTTCATCATTCTCGTAGGCTTCCTCGATAAGGGTCTCCAGGGGCACCTCATCAGGCTGCTCAGAAGGAGCTGTGGAGGGCTGCGAGGCGGACGGTTCGGCGGAGTCTTCAGCTAGCTGATCATCGGGCTGGTTGTTCAACTGGTCGGACGTTTCTAGGGGGAGCTCAAAATCCTCGGGGGTGGAAAGAATCTCCGGGGGATCGCTAAGAGCCGTTGATGCGGCGCTATCAGGGTCGTTGACCGGGATAGAGGCATTGCGCGCGCTACGGGTGACCGCGAGGAGGTCCTTTTGAACTGCTTCGTCAAGGTATTGGGGCGGGAGCAGGGTTTGAAAGCGTTCCTTTTCGCGGGCATCATCCGCCCCCTGTGGTAGATCCTGAGAACGCCGTGTCAAAAGATTGGGTTTCTCTCCTTGCTTTCCGGGCCGATACATGATCTTAAAGTTAAATTCAGAGAGGAATTCGGCCCATCGAGCCTGTCTGCGATTCAATTGTTTTGTAGTCATAAAATGCTGCAGATTCTGATGATCTGTGTAAACCTTAACAGGATTTTCAGGAGATGCACTGGCCAGCTCCGGTCTCCAAGTTTCAAAAGATCGAATGATTGCAAGAAGCTTCTTATTATAGATCATATAATTGGTCTCTGCAGGAGACAACTTCTTTGAGAAAAAGGCCACAGGATGTAGCACGCCATTATGCATCTGCGACATTACTCCAGCAGTT